CGCCCAAAATGTACTATTCAGCAGTTTAGCAGCAAAACAATTAGAATGTTTACAATTGCGCTGTAAGCGCAGTATTTGACGCTTCTATTTGACTCTCACATATGAAGTGCAGGGCCCAAATTTACTATTTAGCAGATTAGCATCCAGAAAATAAGAATGTTTACAATTGCGCTGTAACCGCACTATTTGACGCTTCTATTTGACTCTCAGATATGAAGAGCACGCCCCAAATTTACTATTAAGCAGATTAGCACCCAGAAAATAAGAATGTTTACAATTGTGCTGTAACCGCACTATTTGACGCTTCTACTTGACTCTCAGATATGAAGAGCACACCCCAAATTTACTATTAAGCAGATTAGCACCCAGAAAATAAGAATGTTTACAATTGTGCTGTAACCGCACTATTTGACGCTTCTACTTGACTCTCAGATATGAAGAGCACACCCAAAATTTACTATTTAGCAGTTTAGCAGCAAAACAATTAGAATTTTTACAACTGCGCTGTAAGCGCACTATTAGACACTTCTATTTGACTCTCAGATATGAAGAGCATGCCCAAAATGTACTATTTAGCAGTTTAGCAGCAAAACAATTAGAATGTTTACAACTGCGCTGTAAACGCACTATTTGACGCTTCTATTTGACTTTCAGATATGAAGAGCACCCCACTAACGTACTTTTTAGCACCCAAAAATTTTTACGTTTTAAAACTGCAATGTGACAGCAGTATTTGATGCTTCTATTTGACTCTCAGATATGAAGTGCACCCCACTAATGTACTTTTTATCACCCCAAAAATTTAAAGTTTTAAAACTGCAATGTGACAGCAGTATTTGACGCTTCAATTTGACTCTCAGATATGAAGTGCACCCTAGTAATGTACTTTTTATCACCCAAAAAATTTAAAGTTTTAAAACTGCAATGTGACAGCAGTATTTGACGCTTCTCTTTGACTCTCAGATATGAAGTGCACCCCACTAATGTACTATTTAGCACCCAAAAAATGTACTTTTTAAAACTCTGACGTAACCGCAGTATTTGGCGCTTCTATTTGACTCTCAGATTTGAAGTGCAGCCCACTAATGTACTAGTTTGCAGAATTATTTCCTAATCTGTCCCTGAAAGCGGCAGCATCCTCTCCCTACACTAATTAGACCTCATGTGCTTGTGGCGCTACGCGACTCCAGCTTAAATATAGAGGCTGGGTCACATGCTGCACTGGCCAATCACAGCCATGCCATTAGTAGGCATGGCTGTGATAGCTTCTAAGGGCACACGAGTCAAACGCTTGTTGATTGGCTGCCCTGCAGCCTTTCAAAATGCGCCATTAAATCGACGAACACCGAACTCCAACCCGAACATACAGTGATATGTCCGTGTTCGGTTCTGGGGTCCAAAAAAACGTAATGTTCAGTACGAACCCGAACTTTACAGTCCGGGTTCACTCAACTCTAGTGAGCACTTATTGATCCACATTTAATGCCCAAAGATACAGACTGCAAAATAATGTCAAGATCTGAATACCTCTTTTGCCAAACACAATGAACACGCCAACTTGTTATTTTTGCCTCATTTTTTCTATTTGGATTTAATTTGCAAACATTCTAAGTTTAGGGAATAACCCTATCAGTGGCATAGAGCTAATTTTAATTGTAATAGGTGGTTCTTTATATAGTTATTATGGTTTCATCAAAAATAACAAATCACTTCTTTGCTTCCTTTTTAAACTCGCATGCTGTATTTATTTCTAGGACTTAGAATTAAGACCCATGCCGACTGTCTCAGGGTGGTACCATGCCTGGTGACATGGCTACTTTTTGCTTTGTATTCTGTCAGTGATTCCGTCTATCAGTAAAAAAAATTTTTGTTTTTAATCAACTTTTACCCCCCCCCCCCCATCTTTTCGGAATATGTTAATCCTTGGTGGTCCATGGCAGAGGAATCTTCTACAACCTGGTATTTTCATTTGTAGAAATTAATCTATGGATGCTTGCAGTGACATTTATTTATTTGCATGTTTGTTAGTCGTTCAGTATTTCAGTTAATGAAAAAGCCATCTCGGAAGGGCATTGTCTAATTGACCCACATATACATTTAAAATTGGGAATTTTAGTAAAGGATTGTGGGATTGAAACAGCAGGCATGAATTCCTGTCCATCTCTTCTGGGTTTCTAATTAGAAGTGTGTTTTTGCAGGGTCTAGACAGGTTTGAAGTGACATATTAAACTTGGCAAGATATCTTACGATGACTTAAATGCAACAAATGTTATCAAGGTGTCTGAGGAGGATGGATCCAGAGCCCACACATTGCTATTTAATAATAGAGAACCATGCTGTTTACTGGCAGTTGAAAAGAGTGACACCTATTACTGATAACTGCAGACAACTAGGGGCAACATCAACACACCAATCAGCAGTAACACACTATTACATTTCTATTCTGTTCACTTAGTCCACTTAGGCAACCTTCGACACTCCAGATGTTTTGGACTACATTTCCCATGATGCTTTTACAACCATAATGCTGGCAAAGCATCAAGGGAGATGTAGTCCACAATATCTGGGGTGTCAAAGGTACCTACCTCCGCCTATTCACATTTATTTAGAAACATACATTGAGATTTCCATCTTTAACCTCTTAAGGACACAACTTCTGAAATAAAAGGGAATCGTGACGGAATATTTCTGTCATTTGTCCTTAAGGGATTAAGTATATTCTAGACTACACAAACATTACAATATGGTTAATGGATTACAGACTTAGTAACACATTGTTAAAAAATGAAATAATCAAAAAGTGCATAATTCCACTGCATGTCTGTTAATAATATTTTCTGTTCTATTAATTTTACATTAAAACAGAGTTGTATCATATTGAGTACCACATACTTTTAATACCATTTTAATGGCTACATTTACTCATAAACCTTTAAGGTAAAGCACATGCTTTTCTATGCCTCTAATACTACACTATTGTGCAATGCAATGGCTGCTGTTCTCAAATGATCACATAAAGTCTTGAATCAAATATTAGCCAGGCGATCAAAGCAGTAGAGTAGCTTGAAAGATGACATTTTACTGAAGGCTTTCTGTTTAGTGTCACGGGTTTTGTTTGTACTCAGCGTGACATTGCATGGAGATTCCAATACTTTGATCTAGTTGCAAAGATAACCTCTTGTTGATATATATGGGAATGGGTTTTGTTACTCTTGAAATCTTTTTTCTTCTTTTTTTCTTTTGTGACTTATCTTTAACATAAAACAGTTTGGGACTAATTTAACTGCTTGTAACCAGTAGACAGGAGGTTAATATTGATTTAGCCTATATGCAGCGACAGAACAAATGCAGAGAGAATCCTAGCACAAGGAATTTATTAGGGACATCCTGCAGCACAAGGGTGGCCAAAAGGTAGATCCTCAACTGCCACATCATATGACTCCCACAGTGTTTTACCAGCTGGTGATCTACTATTTGCTCATGCATTTGAACATTAACATATTTTTGTTTTTATGTGTGTGTGTAGAAATGTAGGGATATATTTGTGTATTGTGTTGGCATTTGAAATGAGGGATGTCTTCGCATTGTACAGTGCTATGGAATTTGTTGGCACTATATAAATAATAAAATACTAATAATAATAAGAAGAAGAATTTGAATGCAAGGGTACCTTCACTAGTATAAGTACCATATTCACTATGCTATGTGAAGTTTACAAGGTTGCTCAATTCGTACATTTGCAATTCTGTAGGTTTCAACACTTGCTTAGTTAACAACACATTGTACTCAAACATTATTGTTGGAAAGGATCAACTGGTCGATAGGTAGGGGAAAGAAAAAAAAAAAGAGACAAGAAAGGAGAGAATTTCACAGAGGGGAATCAACAGTATGTGGCAGCAGTATTATCCTTAGAAACTGCATGGAAGATGTTTCTGGAAGTCAAACTTTGGCTTTTGGTTTTCTACAGTAGAATTTAGACAGCTTTATTCATAGAATATATTACCCATAAAGCTTTAATGGGGTTATATTCAACGTTGATAAAAGAGATATTATGAGAAAGACGCTCCTCAACTTGCGTTTTTATAGCCAATAATAGACAATTTTTTATTATACTTACAAGACTAATTCATTTGTGTAAATAAGATAAAAACATTTTATTTAGTTTAAAGACGTATTGATATGGATTGCAATGCAGTGAAGATTGAAAGTGGATTAGTCACTTTCAGTTTTCTATGCATATTTTGCAAAGACCCCTGAAGGTGACACCTTTGGTTCTGGGATGCAGTGGGAGGTAGATTTATTAAAGTGAATCTGTCCCTCAGAGCCCATGCTTTTTTTCTGCAGACTCTTCTCTGCTCCAGGTGCTACATCTGCCAGGAGCTGCATTGGTGCTGTATTCTTGCACATGCATGAGAGCACTCATGTCTAAGGAGGATCTTGCGAAAACAGGATGTTTTGATGATTTCTTGTTTGATGGGATCTTCTGATTGCATTGGGATTTCATTTAAATTCCAAAGAAGTTAACATGATATTTCTTAGATTTCTAAGATTATGAAATACTATGTATAAAAATGTAATGATAAAGCAGTTCTGTCACTACTAACATTTATGAGCAAAAGAGGGACACAGGGATCTGAGTCAGTTTGAATGTATGCAATACCAATTACATTTGTACGTGTTTACAGGCATTTTCCTTTTGAAAATAATGGCTTTACTATTAATCAAATACTGGATTCCCAGTGATCCTTGAAATGGGAAAGCAGCCTGTTAGATGGTGGAGATTGTGGAGATGTTGCAAATTACCGGGCTGCAAAGGGCAGGACTGTAAGTAAAGTCTGATGAGCACAAGTTGTATAAACGATTACTAGACGTGTTCCCAGTTGGTTCTCTGATGAGACAAGACAGGTGATGAAACAAAATGACTGAAAATCATATATGTTGAATAATAAGAACATTATCTATATATATTTTCGAACAAGTTTTTTTTTATTATTGTCCATTTATTAAGTAACATCATGAATTTCTCTATTTTATAAAATATAGGAATATAACCGCAAATAAGACACAAACTATGACAAATGTTACTGGGAAACTAGAGGTTATAGAAGATCCTGCTCAAATGAATTTACAATCTAGAGGTAAGGTCTAAAAGCCCAAGTGAAAGAACAAGACTTGACTGACGAGATGGGTTTTTAAGGACTAGGGATTAAAGAGTAAGGGAATGTCTGCTGATACAGAAAGCCAGCGTAATGATTAAAATAAGAGGTGAGGTGTGAGAGGTGCAATGAGAACAGACAAGAAGCCTGGAATTACCATTCATCATGATCTGTAGATAGGCATTATGAATTCTGGAAAGAGTTATACTAATTAATGCAGAACATTATAGGACTGTAATCACATAATTTAGTGACAGAACACGTACAGTGAGGTAATGGAAGGTAAGATGTAATGGAGTGAGCTTGCAAGAATAGACTGATATGTAACATAAACCTGCAGAGTGAGTGATAGTCGAAGTTTAGATTTATAAAAAAGGACTAGCAGATGCTCCATTTTGGAAAGACTGAGAAGTAGAAAGTCTAAGACATCCAGTTGCAAATGGAAGAGAAGCAGCAAGGAGATTAGGTAAGTAGAGAATATCTGGGTATCACTGGCATGCAGGTGGTACTAGATTAAAAATGAGCTAATACATTGACCAAAAGACATAAAGAGAGAAACAGAAGGGAGGCAAGGACAAAGTCTTGGGGGACTCTAAATGAAACAGATTGAGAGCATATGATGTTTACAGTAGAGGTCATGATAAAAAAAAAAGCATTAAAGGAACAGTCCACACCCAAAAAAGCACTTCAGCTTACTGGGTGAGGAGTACCTTAGTTTAACCCCAGTTTATAAAAGTGCTGATTTCTGTAAGAAACCAGCACTTTAATAAACTAACTAGGAAACTTGTGGCTGGCAGGCTCTACTTGACCGTGCCTGTCTCTCCACCCCCTCAAGATTTTAGACCAGCTCCTCAGCATCATCCGTGCATGCGTGTGCACGCAATGGTGTGGGAACGTGCACAAGCCAGAACGCATGTGCACATGGGGACCAAGTCAGAGGCTTCTCAATGAGAATGTCTCTTCCGGGAAAAAAAAGGGGAGGGCTTACAAATGCTACAGTGATAAGAACTGCAGCTTTTGTAATCTCTTTTAGACTATACTCTCATATGCATGCATATGCATTCTAAACTGTGGGATTTTTGGGGGGTGTTTTATTTGAAAGTGTGAAGTGGTCCTTTAAGAGAAGTAAAATGTGAAACAGGAAAGGACAGTGTCATGAACACCAACGCTTTGTTGGGTTTTGAAAAGGAAAGTGTGATCAGCCTTATCAAAAGTAGCAGAGAGAAGTATTAGTATAGAGTGAATGCCTTTGAATTTGGCAGTAATTGTATAATTTTCATCTATTATAACTTGTATAGCAATTAAATAACATTATGCAATACATTTTCACAGTCAGCTTTTTTTATATACATATTGGGTTATCACAATAACAATCTCTAATAATAGATTCATCAATTGTTATTTCTTGTACTATAATTTACTTAGATTTATTACAAAGAGTTGGATTTCTTTTCTTGGCTGATGGCCTCGACACTTGACGAGCTCTTGTTCCAAACCCTAATGTCTGCAGTGATTCCGCTGTGAACTTTTGACAAGGCGAAACACAAAGTATTAACAGAAGCTTTGCATCTCCTCCTGTAACAGACAAAAATATATATATATATATCTCAATCTCAAATTAACATTAAGATTAAATACATTTTGTAACATAGTTAAATGCATGTTTACATGTCTCATCTCATCCTGGAACATAAGCATGTGCAGTACACTTCATTAAGGTATGTACCTAGGCATTAGTGGTTATAGAGCCAGAAAACCCCTGAGGCTCCTTCTGATCTGACAACTTACCTGGGTCCTGACGGGTAACTGCCGTGGTCCTGGAGCTTATGTCAACTCCACTTAGCTAGGTTTTACTGTGCAGGACTGGATTATTGGATGAGATTGTCAGCTGAATGCTCTCATCCAATGAGCACAGCCTTACACAGCCGGGCCTAATTTAGGAATTGGGGGAACACCCAGAACATGCATTTCTCAGCAGTGGGCCTAACATAGTGGCACAATTTTTTGATAGCAGGGAGACAACAGCAGGTTTCTGGCAGGGCCCAGGTAAATTGTAAAAACATTTGCCTAATTACTCTGGGAGGGCACTAGGAGACTGGTAAGGCAGTGCATTTTATTCTTTTAGCCCTGCAGTGGGCAAGTGGCAGGTTGTGTTGGTGGGGTGAATCAGAACTGGCAGCATGAGGTTTGCATTTGGCGGGTGTAGACTTCAGTAATGGCTCCCAAGTCAGATCGCAGTCTATGGATGTTCTCAGTTTGTAATCTGACTCGCCCTAATCTGGTATCTTAATCATGGGAATCCCACATCAGGGTACCAAATTATGGGGCCATCTAGTCAACAGCTCCTTAATTTGATATCCTTAGAAGGGGAAACCCACATAAGGAGCCGTTGACTAAAAGCATCCTAATTTGGTATCCTAAGCAGGGGAACCTCACGTCAGGGTATCAAATTAGAGGTGGAAGCTACTAAATAGTGCCCTAATTTGGTATCCTAAGTAGGGGAAATACACATGAGGTGAAAATTAGGGGAGCGATCTACGAAACCCTTTTTCCTAAATTTGCTCTTTCAGTTGCTTAGTAGGTAAGTCCCTAATTTGATACCCTTAATTATGGCAATCCCACATAAGAATACCAAATTATGGAACTATCTACTAAAAAGCTGACACATCAAAATTAAGCAAATAGAGCCCTTTTTTTAATTTTGTTGTTTCAGATGCTTGAAAGATAAGTCCCTAATTTGTTATCCTTGTGAAATCGAATTTATCTTAAACTTTTTTTTGGCTCAATTCATTAAGAAGTGTTAGTTTTCGGTAATTTCCAGTGCTTCTGTATTCCAAAATTATCTGTTATCTGGAGGATAACGAATACACATGTCTATTCAGCATACCTCTCTATCTTTTGAAGAACAATTATTTAAATTGATTAAAGAAGTATCCAGCATCATGGAATTAGAGGAAGGTGAAACAAAAAATAAAAGAGCCAAAGAGGCCAACATTACTAAACATTTTAAATCAATTTTAGCATTGAAAGAGGAAGAGAAGGCATTGGAAACTTTGCCCAAAGTTGATATTCCATTTGCTCAATTGGATTGAATAAAAGACAATTATCCCTATTATGGAAATGTCAGGTTTGAGGGATCTTATTGCTAAATTTCCAGAGAATGTTCTAGGCATCAGCAGCTCACAGGATGATTTATGGCAAGGGCCCAGATAAGATAAGTAAACTATTTGACTCTTCACAAATCCACCTCGTAAACACTGCAACATGTAACACAAAATAAAATAACACCCCTGGAGTTATAAATCGGCCAGTACATCATGTGTGCTGTCTGGGGCCAAAGGATAGTCATTCCAAAAATAATCAGCCACTTCTAAAAGAAAAAACATGCACCTTCATTCCAAAAATTCCCAGATAATCTAGCTGGAAAAACTGAAAATATCACTGACAAAAGATTTGGATGATGAACCAGTCTAATCACTATCGATTATAAAATAATGTCAGAGATTTTTTTATGACAGGTGACCTGCCTTTTGAACAAAGATGTCTGTTTGAGTTTGCCTTGGATGATCTAATAAAGTCTAGGGCAGTGATGGCGAACCTTTTGAGCCCGAGTGCCCAAACCGCAATACATGCCAACTTTTTTTTCCTCAAATTGCCAACATGGCAATTAAACCTGAATACTGAGGTTTAAGTTTAGAAAAAAACTACTCATACAGTTGTCCGAACTAATTAACAACTTTTGTTTTAAAAGAAGAACACAACAGAGAGTTCAATGATACAAATTTTGAATTATGATATAAATAGATAAAATTAAGCTTATATTTATTAGTATCTCCAACAAATGCAATACATACACACAGACTGCTGAATGCATACACACACAGAGACTGCTGAATACACCCACACACACAGACTGCTGAATACACCCACATACAGACTGCTGAAAACACACACACAGACTGCTGAATACACACACACAGACTGCTGAGTACACCCACAAAGACTGCCGAGTACACACAGACTGCTGAATACACACGCTGCTGAGTACACACAATCTGCTGTATACAGACACACACACAGACTGCTGAATACATACACACAGACAGATTGCTGAATACACATACAGACTGCTGAATATATACACTGCTGAATACACACACACAGTCTGCTGAATACATACACTGCTTAATACACACACACACAGACTGCTGAGTACACACACTCACAGACTGCTGAGTACATACACACAATCTGCTGAATACATACACATGCACACACACAGACTGCTGAATACACACACACTGCTGAGTACACACACTCACAGACTGCTGAGTACACACACACAGAGACTGCTGAATACACACAAACACACACACACAGACTGCTAAATACACACAGTCTGCTGAATACATACACACACACACAGACTGCTGAATACACACATACATACTGCATTGAGGGGTGCAGTGTATGTGTTTGTGTGTAAGGGTGTGGAGTGCTGTGTGTGTGTCTGAGGGGTACTGTGTGTGGGGGTGCTGTGTGTGTGGTGGATAGGGGTGCTGTGTGTGTGCGGGGTAGGGGTGATGTGCGGTGTGGGGGTAGGAGTTAGGGGTGATGTGCTGTGGGGGGGTAGGGGTGCTGTGGGGGAGTAGGAGGTACTGTGCTTGGGGGTAGGGTGCTGTGCTGGGGGTAGAGTGCTGTGTTGTGGGTAAGAGTGCTAATGTGGGGGGTAGGGGTGCTGTGTGGGGGTAGAGGGGGTGCTGGGGGGGAAGGTGTTGTGTGGGTAGGGGCCTCTGGGGGTGTAGGGGTGTTGTGGGGGGGGGTGCTGTGTAGGGGTGCTGTGTAGGGGTGTAGGGTGCTGTGTAGGGGGTAGAGGTGCTGTGTAGGGGGTAGGGGTGCTGTGTTGGGGGTAGGGGTGCTGTGTGGGGGTAGGGGTGCTGTGGGGGGGTAGGGTGCTGTGGGGGGTAGGGGTGCTAGAGGGTGTAGGGGGTGCTGTGTAGGGGGTAGAGGTGCTGTGTAGGGGTTAGGGGTGCTGTGGTGGGGGGTGGGAGTGCTGTGTGGGGGGTGGGAGTGCTGTGTAGGGGTGGAGTAGTGGTGCTGTGTGTGGGGTAGGGGGTGCTGTGTGGGGGGCAGGGGTGCTGTGTGGGTAGGGGTGCTGTGTGGGGGGGGTATGGTGTGCAGGGGGGTAAAGGTGCTGTGCTGTGTGGGGTATGGGTAAAGATACATTTAAAAAAAAAAGTTATATCAATTCTGTATCCCCCCTCCCTTCCTCTTACCTTTGGTGAAGGAGGGGGGACACAGTCATGCCTGGTGGTCCGGTGGTGGTAAGTATTGTAGGAAGCAGCTCTTCTATCCTCCCGCGTGATGATGTGTGGAGCGTTGCCATGGTAACGCGCGGCAACGCTCCACACAGCTTGCTCGCAGGAGGATAGGAAAACGGCTTCCTAGAGCCCTCCCCCTGCCTCCCGACCCAGAAGCAGAGCAGGCCCCTGCCGTTTCCGGCAGGCAGGTGCCTACTCTGCAGACAGCCAGCGGCCCCCTCTCCCGGCGACCTATGGCCGCGTGCCAACAGAGAGGGCCTGCCGTAGGTTCGCCATCACTGGTCTAGGGCATAAGGAAAGAAGGCTCTACTGCAAGACAAAAAAATGTTTTTTAAAAATCCCAACTGACCTTGTTGATCTTCCCCCCAGAATGTTTATTTGTTCAGAAGTATTATCAATAGACCTATGGAAAGTTCTCAGAAAATCAATCTCAGATCTTCAAAGAAAAGAGATAATAGAACTGGTCTTGAATAAGACCCTTGGAATTTTTGATTGATCTTTTCTTGTCCTTTATTAAAACTAAAGAAAGTGAACAGATTTGTGTCAAGGGAAATGATTTATTTAGCAACTCATCAGATTATCTGAAAAATGCATACCTCCATATTCCTATAGCATCTCAAAGTAGAAGTTTTTATGTTTAGCCCTCAGTTCAAGGCTTTACCATTTGGCCTTTGCTATAGATACATATCTAACTATCATATTAGTTAAATTATAATTCATAATAAACTATTATAATTAATTATTATTATTATAATAATATTAATTAATATTTATATTAATAAAACTACACTTTAATAAGTACAAAAATGTTTTTCGTGATTTAAATAGTGATTTAAATAAATGTAAATAGTTCCTTTAATGCTAACTCAGGCTGTTACAGTGGTAAAGGAATCTTGCTACATAAAGATGCCCAAAATTCTTAGAAACAAAATATCATCTTGCAATAGAATCATGCTAATGTGTAAATATTTAAAATATGCAAGGAATGTGATAACATGTCCATTAATATTAAACTAACAGAAGTATATGCAGAAAATTACCTCAGCTGTTCTTGATCTAAATGATCAATTAGGAATGTTTACATATTTTCACACAGCACAGGAATGTGATTTACTAGAAAATACGCCTGGACCTTGTTTAAGTAGATGAAATCCATTTTTTTCCCCACATGGACAGTGGACACTAGTAATAAATATCACGGTATATGACTTGTGCAAGAGGTTGTAAGCCAATACTTGTAATAATTTGATACTTTTAGAGAAATCCAGTTAAACCTGTCATAAGTATTTATTACAACTGATATACAGTCTGAAATTTCTTTTTACATTTTATACTACATTATAGTAATGTGTTCATCAAATACCTGGATATTTTGGAGGGTCATAAATGTAATGTATAGAAACTTTAAGTTCAAAAGCTAATACTTAGAGGGACACTAGATGTATGGAGACCACTTCATCTCATTGACTGTCCCCTTAATCCTGCATTGTTTTACATTACAGTTTTAGAGAAACTGCAATGTTAAGAGTTCCTCTTCCAGACAGCCACTAAACACATTTCCTGCATTTTCACAGACTTTAATTCTGGGAAACAACACTGGACATCCTCACGCTGTTCATGAGGACATCCAGCGTCTTGCAAATCACCATAGAAAAGCATTGATTCAATGCTTCCCCATGGGTAAGACCTAATGCACACATGGCATTAGGTCCCCCTATGCGCTGACATTGGAAGGGTGCCGAAACTGAGTCAGGTTGAAAGGGTTGGACTTCGACACTGGAATCAGGTTAAAGTGGTGAAAGGCTTTTTAACCTTTTACACACATACACACCGATTGCCGAATACACGCACACAGACTGCTGAATACACACACTGAGTACACACAGACAGACTGCAGAGTACAGACAGACTACTGAGTACACACATAGACTGTTGAGTACACACAAACAGACTGCTGAATATATTCACACAATCAGCTGAATACACACGCACAAACTCACACAGAGACTGCTGAATACACACAGGCTGTTAAATACACACACACATATACACACAGACTGGTGAATACACACACACTGGTAAATACACACTCAGAGACTGCTGAATACACCCAGACTGCAGTGAGGGGTGCAGTGTGTTTTCGAGAGGTACAGTGTGTTGGTTAGGAGTGATGTGTGTGAGAGATGCTATGTGTGTGTGTGTGGGGGGGGGTGTTTATGTGTCAGGGATGCTGTGTGTGTGTGTGTGAGGGGTGCTGTGTGTGTTTGTGAAGGGTGCTGTGTGTGTTTGTGAAGAGTGCTGTGTGTTTGTGAAGGGTGTTGTGTGTGAGAAGTGCTGTGTGTGTTTGTGAAGGGCGCTGTGTGTGAGAAGTGCTGTGTGTGTTTGTGAAGGGCGCTGTGTGTGAGAAGTGCTGTGTGTGTTTGTGAAGGGCGCTGTGTGTGTGTGAGGGAGGCAGTGTGTGAAGGGTGCTCTGTGTGTGTGTGTGTGGGAGGGGTGCTGGCTGGGGAGAGGACCCGGAGGAGCTCATGCGGCCGCTGGCTGGGGAGAGGACCCGGAGGAGCTCTATCAAGCAGCTCTGCTGTGTTCCTCTCACGAAATCCGGAGCATTGCCATGGCAACACTCTGGATCTTGCAAGAGTGAACTCTAACCGCACAGGCTAGAGTTCACTCACTACTATTACCACCAGGAATGGCTGCATGGTCCCCCCTCCCAAGCAAAAGGTAAGAAGGGAGGGGGTATACAATGCCTATTTTTTTTTATTATTAAAAAAAAAAAAAGAAATACATACCCCCCAAAAATACATATTGTTAAAAAAACCTGGCTCCCCAAAACGCAATCGCACCAAACACACACAACACCCTAACACACACACACATCACCCTAACACATATAGCACCCTCACACACATCACCTTCACACAGCACCCTAACACACACAGCATCTTCACTCACACACAAGCACCATCACACAAAAACTGCACACCTCACATACCACACACACACACACACATCACCCTCACACAGCACCCTAACACACACAGCACCCTCACTCACACACAGTTCCGTAACACACACAACACCCTCACTCACACACACTGCACACACAGACACAGCGCCCTCACACACACTGCACACCTCACACAAATCACACACACACACTTCACCCTCACACAGCAACCTCACTCACAAACACAGCACCCTCACACAGCACCTAAACACACACACATCACTGTCACACACAGCACCCTCACACCCCCTATGCACACACTAGATTCCTTGTAAGCAAACACATACTACATTCCCTAAACACACACTCTCTACAACCCCTACACATTCTACATCACCTATTCACACACACACACACTACAGCCTGTATGCACACACTTGCTACATCCCCTACACACACTATGCCCCCCTATTCACACACTCTCTACAGCACCTAGACACACATACATTACATTACAAACTCAACATTACTGAAACCAACCTATTAAGACAAAACCACACCACAATTAGCTCACTCTACACATGCAATCCCATAAGCAGGCTCCAAACACATGCACAGTACTCTTTCCTGGATTTTTATCTCCTGGTATTACATTTATGGAGACACCACAGAGACAAGATTCAAGCAAACACAATGCAGGCATGTTATTCAATTTGCTTATGCTGTGCAGAACAAATACAAGGTGTGGCGACGTGTCCTTGGAGGGGGCTGCTTGCCCGCCTCTTGCCTTTGGACTATGGACCAGACTTTATGTGAATGTGTTAACCAGATAGCTATGCCATGGAGCCCATTCGTGTAGTTAAAGACTTTGGCTCCATGGCAATTGAACTGTGTGAATAGGATCTGAGCGCTATTCGGTAGTTTTGTGCGCTCAGATCCCAGCTATCTGGGGATATGTCAGATGTCTGTGTGTTAAGTGTAAAAGGTGACTTTATGTATTTTAAAGTGTTTTATGTCTTTTTGCAACCATGTGCTCAATGGAGTCTGCCTCTATCCCTGGATAATTGGATTACTTTCCCCCATTGTCTCCAGGATAGAGGGCTCTGTAAAACCTGTTTGAGCCAGATATCCATGTGCCAGCCAGGCCCCAAAAGATACTTGTGCTAACTTCTGAACCCCTGGTCTGATTCATGCCATTTTTTAATATGTTGTTCCCCTGAATGGATTGATTGTGAATATGTAATTTTATGTGAATGTGATGTATGGTTTTAAAGTTATGAAAGTTGGGTAGAAAGTATGTTTTACCTGTATGTGTACTTGAGTTTCCTCTCAGAGGAGGGAATATGTGGGATGTAACTGATATGTGATTGGTTGTTTTATACCTCCCTGTGGGCAGTCCTGTATGTGAAAGACTATAATAAAAACCAGGCTGGGTGTGCCAGCACAGGAGTTCCTGTTTTAACCCTCAAAGTGAAGTGTCGTGTCATTACTGGGGGAAGGATTTATTGTATGCTGTTCCAGTTTGACTGCTAGGAGAGTAAACCTATTTGTATGGTTCCTATTCAACTGTCTACAGCATTCACATGCTTGGGAGAATTTATTTGTTTCTCCGGTTCGGTGATTGTGGTGTCTGCTAGAGTGCTTGGAGTCCTCAGGAAGTGCTAGGAGCATCCTTCAACGGAGGTACCCAGTCGGGGTGCCAGGCGATCCGTTACACAAGGCCTTTTTCTCATGTTAGAGCTCTTCCTCAGAGCTCTGCACATGGTCTGCCCTGGAAGAGCATTGGACAAACATGCTCAATTTGAGATGGGGTGTGCTTGTCATTGGGCATGACAAAACATTGGGGATGACAAAGAAGGTAAGAAGGGAGGGGGGATACAATGCCTGTATGTCCCGTCCCCTTTTCAGTGGGCTGCTGTGATAAAAAAATGCCCGGGACGAATGTTTTTCCCTGACCGGCCCTGATAAGGGGTGGTGTGTGTGTGTTTGTGTCAGTGTGAGGAGTGCAGGGAGCAAATGTGTTTTTTTTTTTTTTTAAATCATCTTTTTAAAAATAATAAATAATGATTTAATACATTATTTATGCCCCCCCCCCTCCTTCTTCTTACCGTTGGTTAAGGAGGGGGACACACAGCCATCCCTGGTGGCACGGTGACGGTGAGTTCTGTACAGCCTGCAACTCATCTGGCTGCAGGCTGTCTCCTGTCCTCCCGCATGCAGAATGCTGTGTGGAGTGTTGCCATGGCAACTCGCGCCAACGCTATACACAGCCTGCTCGAGCGAGGAGCGCTCTTCCTGCCAGGTTCCTCCTCCGGGTCCTCCAGCCCTCTCTCTCCTCTAACGAAGGGCCTTTGGGCCATTGAAGGAGATCTTTGATCTCCCCACCGGCCGGAGAGGATCATGTGATCTCCCCTGTCAGCTGGGCACATGGGCATTGCAGTGGGGCCCCCAGGCAACTGCCCAGAGTGCCCATTCGGAAAGACTGTCCTGCTTTGTGCATCTGTGTTTTGCAAGTGTATGTAATCCCGACTATTCATTCATCCGCCTAGGGAATCTGTGGTCATTTAGAGTAAATGGTAGTAAAATTAAGGGGGAAAAAATCAGTGTAAGAAGAAACATACTCTTGTGTATTTCAAATGACAATTTCTCACTCTGCTTAAATCCCAAATGAAAAGAACAAATGCTCTTACGCATAAAAAAAAAAAAAAAGTCTGCCACTTGAGGATGTAATGTAAAAAACAACATGCAAAGAAACAAAACAGAACTACAAAAACAAATCTACTACCATATTTTTGGAGTCAATGTTTCAGTTTACCCAATAAACTTTCTTCCGTAAAACGTTTTGTATAATTTGAAACATTGAACCATTACACAAGTTAGTAACCTTTTTTGCATGAAGTCCCTGGAGTGCCATTTCCCATCCCCCTGTTGTATTCTTATTTATATGCATGTTTATTTGTTCTGGGGAATTGAATGTATTTCCCATTAATCCAACTAACTATTAATTAATCCTGAATGGTTTAGGCATTGTGTTGGTTTTACTCTAACTACTGTGAAGAGATTAATTTGTGGTTTGCATTAACAGTAATTGTCATCCACAGGTTAAGCCTTTCACACTATGATAGTTACTAGAAATCAAAAAGCAGTCCAGGCACCCAAGAAATGTGTTTAAGCATACTTTAATTAGATATAAAGATAAGACATTTTGGCTTAGTTGAGCCCTTTTGAATGCTATTCGACTGATGTAATGTCACCACTCCGGTCTCTGTCAGTACCTGAGTATCAATTTGGTTGTCTGCAGTCCTTTTTGTATGGTAGATGCTGGGACTTTACTTATTGCCACCCAGAAATATAGTAAAGCCTGGGACAGACTTTAACAACTGGAAACACAGTAGGGGACCACTGTTATTCTGAGACAGCATGTATCAGGCTTATAGAATAGTATAGAGCAATAACAGCAGGAGCAGGTACATAAACAACATTAGCTGAAAACAGCATTGGGCTGGCATCCTTTGGCCTGGGTAAAAAAAGTACAAATAAATGGATTATTTACATGGAGCATATCAGATGAACTGTGCCATCATGTATATCCCCGCACTGTATGATGTAAGAGATATGTGCATGCCAAGGAGAAGAAGAGTCTGCCTCGCAGTGACTACATTGAAAACAACTGTCACGCCCACAGTCTAATTTCACCCTACTGTCACAGGCAAACAACACCTACAGCTACATCATACATGCTTATTGTAGTCTGTCAGCTTCGTCAGCCTCAGATACCAAAATCCACCAGGAAAGTATCCCAGCCAGCCAATGCCAGTACAGCACTAAGAGGACAGGTCACCAACCCACGCAGTACCAGGCTAGTAAAGGCCCTGCATAATTCATCATACTTCTGCTCTACTGTGAAAAGAAAATTCCCATTATTTTAAATTTCAAAAGAAAGATTTTAGACAAGTGTCCCCTTTGCCAGCCCTTCCATTGCTGAAAGCCTAGCTCTTCAGAACTACCCCAGTGCCAGACTATCAAATTATTCTTATTATTATTCTTCTTATTATTATGTTATTTATATAGCTGTGGCGAAACCGGCCTCGCCACGTGTCCTTGGAGGGGGCTGCTTGCCCGCCTCTTGCCTTTGGACTATGGACCAGACTTTATGTGAATGTGTTAACCCAGATAGCTATGCCATGGAGCCCATTTGTGTAGTTAAAGACTTCGGCTCCATGGCAATTGAACTGTGTGAATAGGATCTGAGCGCTATTCGGTAGTTTTGTGCGCTCAGATCCCAGCTATCTGGGGATATGTGAAATGTCTGTGTCTTATGTGTAAAAGGTGACTTTATGTATTTTAAAGTGTTTTGTGTCTTTTTGCAACCATGTGCTTAATGGAGTCTTGTGTCTGTCCTGGGAGATAATTGAATTACTCTCCAGGATAGAAGACTCTGAAACTGGTTTGGGCCAGAAAGCCATGCTTCATTTAGTCACAAAGGACTTTCCCTTAACTTTTGAACCCCTGGTCTGATTCGTGCCATTTTTTAATATGTTGTTCCCCTGAATGGATTGATTATGAAAATGTATGTTTTATGTTTGTGACATGTATATTTTAGAAGTTATAAATATTGTGTAAAAACTGTATTCCTCTGCCGGTGATAATGAGATTACCCATTGTGTTCAGTAATCATATCACCTGCAGAGGGGAGGATTTTGTGTGGGAGTGTCTGGGTGTATTGTACGGATTGATTGGTTGTTTTGTAACGCCCTGTGGGCTGTACTATGTTTGTGGATTGGGAATAAAAGAGACTGTATGTGACAATACAGGGAGTTCCTGCTTAACCCTCAAAGTGAAGTGTCATCTCATTATTGGGGAAAGGATTTATTGTATGCTGTTCCAGTTTGACTGCTAGGAGAGTAAACCTATTCGTATGGTTCCTATTCAACTGTCTACAGCATTCATATGCTTGAGAGGATTCATATGCTTCTCCGGTTCGGTGGTTGTGGTGTCTGCTGCAGTGCTTGGAGTCCTCAGGAAGCGCTAGGAGCATCCTTTAACGGAGGTACCCAGTCGGGGTGCCAGGTGATCCGTTACAATAGCGCCATCAAATTCTGCAGCGCTTTACAATGGGTGGACGAACAGACATGTAGTTGTAACCAGACAAGTTGGACACACAGGAACAGAGGGGTTGAGGGCCCTGCTCAATGAGCTTACATGCTAGAGGGAGTGTGGTAAAATGACACAAAAAGGTAAGGATAGTATTAGACTAGTGACAGTTGCAGAAGAGGAATCAGTCAGGAGCTATTAACAGTTTAATTGATATGCTTTTATGAAGAAGTGGGTTTTTAACGATTTTTTGAATGAGTGGAGACTGGGTGAGCCTCTAGCGGAGGAGGGAAGCGAGTTCCACAGGAACGGTGCAGCCCTCGAGAAATCTTGAAGGCAAGCATCAGAGGTAGGAGTACAGACAGAAGATAGACGTAAGTCTTCAGCAGATCGTAAGGGCCTAGATGGGACATACTTGTGTATAAGGGAGGATAGATAGGTGGGAGCAGCATTATGTAGTGATTTGAAAGTAAGAACCAGAATTTTAAATTGAGCCCTATATTTTATAGGAAGCCAATGTAGGGTGAGGCATGGGAGGTGCGGGCGGACAGGAAGATGAGCCTCGCTGCCGCATTCATTATGGACTGTAACTGCGCAAGTTGGGAGCACGTAAGACCACTGAGAAGCGGATTACAGTAGTCAAGGCAAGAAAGGAAAGTGGAATGGACCAACACCATAGTTGCATCTGGTGTTAAGTAGGGGCGGATGCGCGCAATGTTTTTGAGAAGGAAATGACAGGATTTAGCGATAGATTGAGCATGAGGCTTGAAGGAGAGGTTGGAGTCAAAGAAAATACCTAGGCAGCGAGCCTGCGTGGTGGAGCTGATGGTAGCACCGTTGACTTGGAGGGAGACAGACACAGGAGTAACAACACTTGATGGAGGAAAGACCAGAATTTCAGTTTTGGTCAAGTTTAGTTTAAGGAAGTGGTCAGCCATCCAGTTGGAAATAGCAGAGAGGCAGTCAGAGACACTAGTCAAGAGGGATGGGGAGTTTACCAAGGGAGGCAGTATAGATGGAGAACAGTAGGGGACCAAGGACTGAACCTTGGGGGACACCAACAGAGAGGAGTTGGGGAGAAGAAGCAGAGCCAGAGAAAGAAATACTGAAAGAGCGCTGGGAGAGGTGGGAGGAGCACCAGGAGAGAGCAATATTTTGTAGATCGATATTGAAGAGGATGAGAAGAAGCTGTTGATGATCAACAGTGTCAAAAGCAGCAGACAAGTCAAGGAGAATTAGGATAGAGTAGTAAACACTAGATTTTGCAGCGAGTAGATAATTGGATACTTTGGTCAGTGCCGTTTCTACAGAGTGCTTAGCGTGGAAACCCGACTGAAGCGGGTCTAGCAGCAAGACTTGAGGAAGTCTGTCAATATCGCATACACAATTTTTTCAAGGATCTTGGATGCAAAAGGCAGTAGCGAGATAGAACGATAGCTGGATGGGGAGTTAGGATCAAGATTGGGCTTCTTTAAAATTGGAAATATACCAGAGGAGAGAGAGAGATTGAGAATTTTAGTGAGAGGTGGAGAAAGAGAAGAAGACAGAGTACAGAGGAGATGCGAGGGAATTGGATCTTGGGAGTAGGTGGTGGGGCGGGAGGACTGAAGCAGAGCAGAAACCTCTTCCAATGTAGCAGGTGCGAATTAACATAGAACAGCAGAGGGAGTGAAGTTAGGGGAAGTATTGTAAGAAGAAGAATGAAGATGAGAGATCTCTTCTCTGATTGTAAAGATCTTGTGAGTGAAGTGAGTTGCAAAGTCTGAGGCGGTCAAGTTAGTAGGTGGAGGAGGAACAGCAGGGCGAAGAAGAGAGTTAAATGTGTGAAATAGTCGTTTGGGTTCGCGGGAGAGTGTGGTTATGAGGGTATGCAGAGGAAAGAGCCAAGCTGTATGAGCTCAGCATAAATTTATATTGGAGAAAGTCAGATGCACAGTGAGACTTTCTCCAACAGCGTTCAGCATTCTGGAGCATTTTTGGAGGTATCCAGTGAGCTTGGTGTGCCAGGGTTGTTGTTGGGGGGCGCCTGCGGCGTTTAAATGTACAAGGTGCCATGATGGCTAGTTGAGCGATGAGGGTAGAATTGTAGAAGGAGGTTGCAGAACTAGGACAGGTGAGGTTTGAGATAGGTAAAATGAGAGTTTGGAGATTAGTGGAGAAATGCTCTAGGTCAAGACATTGGAGATTGTTCAGACGGTGGTGTCAATTGGGTCTTAGATATGCCAATGTCAAAAGTCAGCAGATGGTGGTCAGACAGAGGAAAAGGAATATTGGATAGATTAGAAGCAGTACAGAGGTTGGTGAAGGCAAGATAGCTGTGTCCCCCCCTCCTTCACCAACGGCAAGATCAGAGTGTTTCCCGCTGTATGGGTTGCTAAATTGGACCATTGCGTGAGGCCAAAGGAGGAGGTTACAGAGAGGCATCAGTGCAATTGGGGTTGTTGATTGGGATATTCAAATTTCCAAGTATAGGAGTGCTAGATGAGAGGAAGTGGGGAAGCCAGGAAGAAAAGTGCTCAATGAATAGTCTAGGATAACCAGGGGGGCAGTAGATTAAAAGAATCAAATGGTTAATTTCTCCACACTCGGACTAAACAGAAAACTATTGTGGCAAGCCTAAGGCACACCTTTGCAATAATCATGCTGCCTAATCAGCATCTTGATATGCCACACCTGTGAGGTGCATGGATTATCTCAGCAAAGGAGAAGCGCTCACTAACACAGATTTAGACAGACTTGTGAACAATATTTGAGAGAAATAGGCCTTTTGTGTACATATAAAAAGTCTTAGATCTTTGAGTTCAGCTTATGAAAAATGGGGGCAAAAACAAAAGTGTTGTGTTTATAATTTTGTTCAGTATATTTAGCAGTACAGTGGTGGCTCATTATTTGCACCCTTTTTGTTCATCCAAATAGGTTTGTCCCAGATCATTTTGCAAGATTTTCAGATGAGTCTGGCTCATCTGTATATTTTGCATATGATTTTGGACAACCTAATTTGGCAAACTGAATTTGGCAAAGTCCCAAATGGTGAAAATGCTGCTTTAAAATAAAATTATAATAAATGTTATACAGTAAACATTTCATATGATTCTGTCCCATTGATTGCATAGTGTTGCACAGCTTCATAAATAGAGTTGTTCTCTCTGCTTTTTATTCCAAGTAAAGCCTGATAGGAGACAGGTGCAGTACACAGGGGCTGTGACATCTGCTACTGATGCTGGGCTGACCACACAAATTTAGGATGGTGGAAAAAAGAGAATTGAAACAGAACACTTTTTGATCAGAAAAAGATTCAGAAAGTTTTGATAAATCTTTTGTATCACCTAAAAAATTTAGTAGATTAAAAGATGGCTAGGTGCAAAAGAAACAACAGATGCAAAAACAGATAGAATTAATAAATGGTTCAGAATATTCACTGAAAATTGGCTGTTTAAATGGCGGCAACTTTTGAAGAATAATCTCCTTTGAAGAATTTTTTTTCAAATGTTGGCAACAATGGTTGGAAAGTTCTTAAGTGGGGCAGGAGTTACAATAGGCCTGGGCCTAGGGATGCATGTAGGAAAGATTAAGAAAATGCTGCTATTTCTATTTGTTCGAGTGCAAGACTCAAACTTTCCACCGGCCCTCATAGTGAGTAGAAATTGGGTTATGATGAGGTGTTTTCGGGGTGGGGTAAAATACCAATAGCTGCAGGACAACCTATGCAGTTTTTGATTCTTATTTTCTTATGTACTGCAAATTATTAAAGTCACATAGCATAATCCACATGTTGTACGCAAACTGAATATTCCCTAACTTAAAGTTAGCACCACAAACGGCTTTTTTTTGGTGTTCCATGCACAACTCCCACAACGCCATGTTATCAGCTCGGCTGTTGATAAATTTCTACCTGTGATGAAAACATCATTTTGTTTGCGGTTAACCTTGCAATGTCAGATATTGATCTTGAGACAACAAGAAATGTTAATCCTAGTTTAAAACTAATAATTAACTGATAAATAAACTAATAATGATTTCTAACTTGTGTGGCATAACTGTCAGAAAACAGCTAAAACATTCAGTACCCATTATCAAACAGAAATAAGGGCAGAATTGGGATTGAAGCCTAATTTAGAAAGAGCATTATAAAAATACAGACAAATTGTTAAGAAAAAACATGACAAAGATGTCCTTGTCCCTTCATGTAGCAAACAAAAATTAAAATTGACTTACCAATAGAGTCTTGGAGCAGGTGTGTAAGCCTACTGTTGCGATAAGGGATGTGAGAGCAGTGTTCTGATAATGCTCCCAGGACATCTGACAGGGCTGATAAGCTGCGATTAATGAAAGATGTCTCTCTCAAGGCTGCTCCCTTCACTCCAGACATACCTAGTACAATATAAACAATACCCAGTTATTCAAAATATAATTAGTCTGAATATTTAATCTATATGTCAAAACATTTTGTAACTGTAACCATTACTTTTTTTTTGCTTGTTTATCAAACCATTTTTGTTTCTAAAAAAGAAAATATTAAGTAGAAACAATAAAATAAGCTGGTAATGTTTTATATTGCATGGTTAAAATTGAGATGAAGTGGTCTGGATACCTTTAGTGTCATTTAAAGGGACTCTCCAGTACCAGGAAAACAAACCAATTTTCCTGGCACTGCAGGATCCTGCAGTAGCCCCCCCTCCCTCCCGCCGCCCATCCCATGTCGCCGAAAGGGGTTAAAACCCCCTTCAGCTACTTACCAGAATCCAGCACCGATGTCCCTCGGCGTAGGGTCAGGCTCCGCTCACGCCCCTCCCCCACCGACGTCAGCCAGTGGGGGAGACCTTATGCACATGCGCAGCAATGGGCACGCGCATTAGACCTACCCATAGGAAACCATTATTTAATGCTTTCCTATGGGGAATATCTGACACTGGAGGTCCGTGAGAACGTCCAGCGTCAGATAACCAACCAAAGGTCGGTTTGGATTCCAGGAGCACTCTAGTGGCTGTCTGATAGACAGCCACAGAGGGCAGACTTAGAGCTGCAATGTAAACATTGCAGTTCTCTGGAACTGCAATGTTTTACATTGCAGCACTAAGTGCAATAGGGGCACAGCACACAGACCAATTCAACTAGCTGAAGTGGTCTGGGTGCCTGGAGTGTTCCTTTAAGTTCAGTGTGCAACACTGGGCCCTATTTTACAGGGTTTTTTTATGTTTTGTAAGGGGGGTGGAAAACAGGGGGGATCTTCACCCTTCAATTTTATAGTTCAGGGAGGGGCTTAAGAATAATGCCCAATAGGACATAATTTATTGAAAAAAATAAAAAGGTTGTAGTAAACATTTCATACATTTTTATAAATTGCAGTGGAGTCCATATGGGGAGCATTATAAAGCACTACATATTTCTGAACAATAATGAGTAAATTAATCTTTAAGACAAAGACTAAAATAAATAAGCATTGTATCTTAAAGGAGAAATAAAAAACATACCTACACATTCGCTGCCAGCCAAATCTACAAGCTGTAATTTTGTTTTGAGTGGTTTCTGTGACTTCACACTGCGAGCCATTCCTAGTGAAAAATGTAGAAAATCACAAATAGTTTCCAGATTCGTGTTTTGTCAAATTGTGTATGAGTGGTCTATAGAGGAGATACTATAAAGTTTGGATAGTTTATATTTGTTTTTCAGGATTTGAAATGAGAGTAGTGCATTCTTTAAAAAATGTTTACAAAATATCAATATGTAACATGTTATATGATGTCCATTCCTTAATATTAATGTCCATTTCTGGAAACAATAACTTCAAAATAGAAATAGGCATACAAGGAAAAAACAATATAATGAAGTAATTGTACTGTTGTTACTAGAAACAATTTTTTGTTTGTTTTGTTTGTACACTTTTTGTACATTTGATGCATGTAACTCCATATAAAATTTGTCTTGTATGTATTCAATATAAAAGTACTGCATTTATTGATGTAAAAATCTAAAACCTTTATTAAAAAATGTTTGAAAAGAAAATCAAATATTAAAAAAAAAACAATGCACATGATTTGTCTATTTTTAGCCAGCAAAACTTGAATTCACAAACATGTAGACCATTTGATTACAGGCATTGTATTATAGTTTATTTTATTTGATGTGGTATTACTTTAATAAATGTTGGTTTAAGCTCTTGCTTCTTTTTAACCGTGTTAAGTTATAAAAAAACACTACCAAGTGGTTTGCATTCATGAAGGGTTTAAGGAACATGAAGAAACTTGTTAATGTTCTACGAATCCACAAGAGTTAAAGAGCAATAAAAATAAATGCACCCCATATCAGCCATAAAGTAAATAACTTTTAACATTATACTTGTATGTTTAGGATCTATGTATGCTGATTTTATGCTGTGTTTGCAACCAATATTCAGAGTTCTAACTCTAGGGACAATGAGGAAAAATTGGGAACCATAAGTCAAAGGGAGATTAAGATTTATCGTACAATCCACACTATAATGTTTATTTTAATTGCTAAATCAAAAGGTTAGGAAAACATGCACAATGATCCTTATCCTAACATGTCATTATTTTTTTCTCTAGAAATTATATTTTCTTCAGCCACTTCAGCCAATATAAAGTCCTTTGGTCTGGTGTCAAGCAGTTTTTGTGGTTCAGAGGTGAACTTTTCATTGTTGTTGTTTCTCTTTTCTTTTGGGGGATTGCCACCGCGGTTACTAAGGATTTTCTGCATGTTTCCCTTTTAAAAAAGGTGCAGTTATACAGGATATCCACAGATTACTACGTTTAAATAAAGTCAATGAATTACATCCAGCTGTAAAAAGAAATGTTTTATCCCCAGTACAATTTTGTGTATATAGTCCTCTGGGTAAAGTGGCTAAAGCAAAAGTTGCTAAATATGGGGAAGAACACAGGACACATATTTTGATAGATGCACAACATATCATTTGGAAAGTGAGGGAATCTAAATTGAGAATACTGTGACAAAGCAAAATAAGTAATAACGGAACTGAGCACACTGTTCAGAAGAGAGGAAATATTGACTTGTTTAGCGCAAAACATTTTGGTTCTTCCAAAATACTTTGGAAAATTTCTTTTTTTAGGGGGTGACAGAATTTAGTTCATGACGCTGTTTGGCCAAGTGTCGGTAGTGAAAAACATTTGGAAAAGCCATTTGGCAGCCAGAACAGCAGGAAAAAATGCTCCCTAGAATGCAAAAAAAAATTACAATATTGCCTAGCCTTGTGGCAAAACTATATCAGGCATTCTTGGAATGCCAATTCTGAGTTGACAAAATTACATTAGTATATATTTGGATTCTAAAAAATAGGAAGTTAAAAAACTTACTTTTATAATTATTAATTATAATCTTTGTAGCGGAACGCCAATATTAAATCCACGAATTCCGCTGGTTCATGAAGTAATCCACAGTCAAGTGCTGGAAACAACAAGGCAATATCCCAAATCTCCCAGTAACCGGACGAAACACAGTTCTGAGAGTCAACTGAGGTCTTTTATTTCAGCTCCACAATTTATACAAGTCCCCATGCAAGGGGTTTCCTGAGTCCCTTCCCAGGGGCATTCCCAGAGGGGACTACATGGGGGACTTATTGTACAAGCTATTTCTCCCATCAGGCACTGCTGCACGAGAGGGATACTCCCACTGGAATATACCGTTAAGTGGATTATCCCTCCGTGCAGCAGAACCGACAATTCACATGAAAATGCATAACTTTTCAAATATGTAGTCTATTTGCACGAATGGACGTTCGGTAGATAGCTGGGGTCTGAGCGCATCATTCGTGAGATTACCGCTCAGATCCCAGCTAAAACAACCGAACGCCGCATGAAAAACACATTCATTGAAAAACATATTAAAAAGACTGATTGCCTTCCAGGGAATGAAATGCCGAACGGCCCGTAACTCCCGAACGTCCTGGAGGCTCAGCGGTGTTCGTGCCATCGAGTAGCCGTTTTTAGTACCATGAGCTCGACGACCTAACACCGCTGAGGGAACAAAGGATCCAAGATGGCCGACCGCCGCATGGTCGGTAGTCGAACGGCGGCCACCCAGGAGAGCCTCTAATTACCGATTGCAACATTGTTGCAATCGGTTAACAAGCGCCACACGCCTCTAAGTGTGTGGGCTATTATGTGTAGTGTTTTCGGTTCACGAACGGCCTGACAAAGTGCCGTTCGTGAAACGAACGGAAAACCTCATACAAATAGCTATCTGCATTCGGCGTATAGCAAATACAGGAAATACACAGTTATTACAGCCCGCATACATTTTACATGGATGAACACATATCCCCACCGACATATAGGCAACCCTTAAAGGTATAGTCTCTTGATATAGTCCAAGTGGCTAGGTTTGCCACAATCTTTTTTTATTGCCATTTTCTATCATGAAAATTAACAAAATACGTGATTTATCCAAAAATGGAAGGAAAAGGTCAGTGGGCAGTTGACCACCCGCTCATCTCTTCCACTCTGACAAGAACAAAGTTTTCCTACACAGTCTGTAGTGTCAGTAACTATCTTTCAGTGTGGAAAAAACACAGTGCCCTATCAGCTTGTCCCAAATGTGTCTGCGAAACTAGAAGGCATCATAAGAGTCAGCCAGGCAGGGCAAAACCACTGCACTGAAAGGCATTTGAAAAAAGGAAAATAGCAGCAGCAGGAGAAATTTAATTTCATTTAATTTTTTATTTACCTCCAGATTTTAAAATACTTTTACAAATCTAAAAACAACTTTAAAGGTAGAGGTGAGTGGCCAGTAGGATTTCAGCTAGCAGATTCTGACAACTCATATATCAAACTGGAGAGCAGGACAACCCAAGTGTGGAAGATTGGCCTTGAGGAAGCCTGTTTTCTCCACCAGTTGCGGGGGCATTTGTAAGTGTTGGGGATTCAAAATGTTCTCTGTAATAGAAAACACTTACTCACTTTGGACATTGGTCAGTAGACATGACAATAGCTGCTGGGTAACCAGACAGTGAGCAGGCCACACACTATACAATATTTAGGAAGGAAAGAAAAGACAGGAAAGGTGGTGGGGTATGTTTGTATGTCAACCATGAATTATAGGTAAATATTTGGCAAGTATGTGATGAAGAAAATGGGGAAAACGTGGAAGCCTTATATGCAGATATCTGTGTAGGGCAAAAATAGGTTGGGATATGTTATAACCATCCTCAGCATCACCCCCACACCACCCTCAGCATCACCCACCCTCAGCATCACCCCCCACCACCCTCATCATCACCCTCCCTCACCATCACCTACCTTCAGCATCACCCCCCCTCACCACCCTCAGCAGCATCACCCCCACACCACGATCAGCGCATCACCCCCTCATGCCCCACCCCTGGCATAACCCCCCCCCCCCTCCAACCCCCCTCACCATCAGCCCCCCTACCTCACAATCAACGCCATCCTCACCATCAACCCCCTCCCTCATCCTCAACATCAACCCCCTCCCTCCCACCATCACCCCCCCCTCAGGTCTCACATCACTTTCTTCTCCGTGCCCCCCCTCCTTCTCATCACCCCTCCTCTCACATCACCCCCTCCTCTCCACATCACCTCCCCCCTCTCATCACCCCCATCACCCCCTCTCACATCACCCCCCCTTCCATCAGCCCCCTTCCTCTCCACATCACCCCTCCCTCTCCCATCCGCCTCTCATATCACCCCTCCTGTCCACACATCACCCCCCTCCCTCTCCATGCCCCTCTTTCTCACATCACCTCCCTCTCCACATCACCCCTCCCTCTCACTTCACCCCCTCCTCTCCACAATCACCCCCCTCTCTCTCAAAAATGCCCCCCTCTCTCTCCATCACCCCTCCTCTCCGTACCCCCCCTCCCTCTCATCACCCCTCTCACATCTGTCCCCCTCCCTCTCACATCACCCCCTGCATCACTTTCCCTCCCTCTCCACATTACCATCAGCCCTCTCCCTCTCTCCATCACCCCCAAAATCCCATCACCCCCCTCCACTCTCATTACCATCAGCCCTCTTCTCTATACCATCCACCCCTCTCACATCCACTTTGCATACCATCACTCCTGTCACCATCAAGCCATGCCCATGCGCCATTTTCCTCCTGCTCACCATCACTCCCCCCCCCATACCCACAACACACTTCAAGCAGCTACCCCATACACATAGGGTCTCAGACAAAAACGCAAACATGCTCACAGAGACATACATTTACACACAAGTATACTCTCTGTCAGACAAACTCTCAGGCACATACACAGGTAAACTGTGCATCAATGTGTATATGTGAAACATTTTTGTTAGTGGGGCCTCATGTTTGAGTTTCGCCTAAGGCCTCATAAAGTCTAGAGCCGCTTATGCCTGTTACATGACACCCTCATATCACCACCCCCCACCACCCTCAGCCTCACCCCCCCACCACCCTCAGCCTTGTTATGGGCAAATGCAAATATTACAAGTTTTAAAATGAAATGTTGTTTTCATTCTAACCTGTGTACTTTATTTATTATTTCTTAAACTGTGTACTTTGTCTTTAAGAGATATTGCAAACTGACAAGGTGTTAGAAATGGAACATATTGTTTTTCATAACTGTTTCTTTAAGCAATAACCTCAGTGCATAATATGTTTGCGCCATTTTGTCCCAGGCGAATTACAATAACAATAATGCATAAACAAGCTTCAAGGCTATGCTACGACTCTTTCAGTACACAATATACTGTGGTAACCTTAAGTAGATAAGGATGTCCAGACTTTAAGATGCTATCTTGAACTAAGTCAGGAAAATTTCCATGGCGTATACACCCTTTAGTTATGGTCTTGTATGTTTGTCAAGTTAAGGGAGATCCTAAAATGAATAAAGTAAAAGAAGTGTTACTTTTTCATATATGAACTACGGTAACCCTAAAATGGAGACACCTAAGGTATAAATAGGTGTACTTTTAAATGTTAAGACACAGAGGAGAGACTTGGAGACAGACGCTGCTCCATCTTAAAATGACAGAGGCTGACATGATGACATGTTCAGAAGGGTATGTTAACCTATTAATGATATTTGCAAGCATTTAGTTTAATCTTATAAACTCTGCTATAATGGATTTTACATGTCTATATTTATATTTTTATATAATAAATATCTAAAAGACAAAACTATTGCTTCCAAGACAATCCTTATTTTATATTGTATTCTCAATTATTTATATATGTTAAATAGAGGATCTATTACACTAACTATATAAAATTATGGCTAAGATAGCTGTATGGTTAGCCCTACTAAGTTCTTTGCTTTAAGACATTATAGTGGTAAATAAGGGAACCACCTGCGGTTACAATTGGCGACCACGAAGGGACTTGTACTTGGAAGCTTTAACTATAAAATAATAAATACCTAGGTAACCTCTTATACGGAAGAGAAGACACAATACTTTGTCATGGCACAAGTCTTGAAATATCAAGAATCTATTGAGCTATTTGTAGCCCAGACTCAGAGAGAGATCTTCATCATGGAGAGATGATTTTAATGTGAACTTGTACAAGGCACTTTAAGTTCAGGTGCCAGGTACATTGTAATTAGCAGACAATGCTGAAATTGTGGATCTTAATATCATAAGAGAACAAATATACATATTTGGTAAACTCCCTAATATGCCTAATACACCAGCATAGCATGGTCCATTAGTTCCAGGACAGTTGGTTGCAGGCAGGGTGATATGTTCTCTTTGTAGCTGCTTAGTATGCATGCGCAGAATAAAGATTAATGCAAGATAATGTCAAAAGAAAAGTGATACAGAAGTGACAGATAGTCCACTATATAAGAAAAGTTTTATAAAACAGTGATAATTTCCAAATTGTCAGTTACGCTAGCTGTTGATTGAAAATCAGGAATTATAACAGCATAACTATTTTTGGAGTCTGGAGTTTCCAGGCAAAGGTGCGGAGATACAGAGACTTGTAAACATTCCAAGGAAATGAGAAGTCGTTGTTTTATATTCCAAATTATGAACAACATTATTAGATACAGCCATAAAGAGAAAGGCGTGGCTTTTAAATACATTCAGTGCAGTACAATGCAGTACACTGCAGCATATATTTATATAATATATGCTAACCAGCTCATATTTTTTCCTAAACAGAGTTGAAATTATACTACCCTTCTAGAAAAAAGGGCAACAGGTGGTTATACATCCTTTGCTTCTCTAAATGCTCTGCAAAAATAAATATTTATAAAATGATTAAAAATAATATATATGTAAGATAAACCAGGGCAAAATAAAATTGTAACTACACAAGTGAATTGTATGCAAGTGAATTTTCAGTGCAAGGTCATTTTGTGTCACAGACTATTCGGTTTTTAAAAAAGCTGTTCTTTATCTCACATTATGAACGGCCTTGTAATTCCTATGCACACTAAAAGTTGGCTTTTAAATGTTATTGTTTTAACTTTAATATTTTATAGGTAATACAGAGGATAAAGTAATTTAAAGAAAATATATTGAAAGTATATTAATTGATAGGATTTCATTTATCTATTTTGGTCCACTGTTCACTGATCTCGAATCTCAATCTGGTGTTCAAATCGTTTTTCTTATGATACGTTGTGAGTTTATATCTACAACTGCATTTTACTTTGTGGTAACAAATTGAAAGCCTGGCATTGTAATACGTGTATGGGCATGCTTATAACAAAGCATGGGCCCTCTCCTCATATAGTTGGTCGTTAACAGGCACTTTGATGCAATGTGTCTACCAACGCTTTAAACATACCCTATCTCTCAGTCATGATGCAGAGTTTATGCTTGCAAGGATAACAGACCTAATCCACCTGTTTATCCGCATACCTACTCCTATACTTTAGAGGGGTTAATTACATATTACCCATTGAGGGTAATATGTTGGTTGTTCTTCCTATAGAGGAAAGATAGACTTGCCCAAAAGATTTTTCATGGCTAGGACAAGCTCATATAGAGAGATAATGTACTTCTGACTCCTGAAAAAGAATATTGGTGGTCCAATATGGGAAATACTGTAATTCATGTGTTTAGTAATCATAAGCATTTGCTTATTGCCACATTACTTATGTACTGTTTATTGAAATATTAATATCTAACGTACTTTTTGAATTACTATATATTGGAAGTTTGCCAACATCTCATGGTTATAAATACGTTTTTGTATGTGTGGATGCATGTACCAGGTTTACTTGGATATATCCTGTGCGAAGTGCAACCTCTGATACCATGTTTTCTAGTCTCACTTCCTTAGTATGCATTTGATAATCCCAGGACCATCCATTTGGATGGTGGTCCTGCAGTTACTGCAAAGGAAACCTAAAACTGGGCAACCACATTTGGGTTACTTTGGGATTTCAGTGTGCCAACCACCCCCAAAGTAGTGGGGTTGTGGTCTGGGAAAATGCTGAGGTTAAATGATTATTAACCAAGTTACTAGTTGCTTGCCCCACACAGTTGTATCTATTTATTCCTATGGTACAGATGAGCATTCACAACATACCTGATGATACAAATGGTGAGACACCATATGAAATGTTACATGTTTTTCACTGACCATCATATTTCTGCACCAGGGAGAGCTTAGAACCATTGGTTCTATTAGAGAAATTTAGGGAATTTGTTTTTCCAGCCCACCTCACCATGCACCACCAACTTTTTCTTACTGTTGGCCAGTTTGTCCTGGAGAGGGTGACTCCGAGAACTTTTACTACAGAGAACAATCAGAGCCAACAAAGAACAGTAAGTTTTGATATTTTAAAACCTGCTAAATACTTCCAGGACGTTTACAGAACCACTGACTGATACAAGGGATGCTGTTAAAGATGGCAAGATAAAACAAACAGAGGACGACACCAGAATCATAGCCACGTAACAGACTGAATCATTCTCTGACATCTGAACCTGCAAATGTGAAGGAGGTGGATGAACAGACAGGCGTGATACATTCACAGTTAACATGGAATATATGAAAAATGAATCATCAACATCATTATCAGAAAGACTCTGGAGAAAAAAGACTGTACCTGAATTATCTTATACAGTAAGAAAGAAATGCAAAGATGCAAGCAAAAGGATGCTAGAAAATTGGTTATGGTGTCTCCTTCTTACAATCTGCAGCATTATCATAACATAAACTTTAGCTGTCGTTTTAAAACTGCATTGGGATTATGTTAACAAGCAGGAGGCACCTGAACTGAATTGTACTGCACATAATACAAGTTCTGTGATCGTGAGGACTACCTCCAAGAACCATCTCGAAAGGAGAGACACAGCTCACAGTGAAATGATTGCTAAGGTGACCTACACTGGTATTTCCCAAGGAACCTATTGAGATCATTCCTGAAAACAGAAATGAAAGGACAGATGCTTGTGAAAAACTTTGGATGCACCTATGAAGACAGAAGATGACCGGAAAAAGAAATAAAGGCTGATAACTGTCAACACCCAGCTGTTTCTCAAGATGGAACATGGTACTGACAAAACCAGATTGACTATCAAAGCACCTCACAGTACAAAACACAGATTGTTGCCTACGACAAAAAGTGGTTAATAGGAAGGAGCACAAGAAGAGGAATATAGATTTCCTACTGGAGTGAAAAACCATCCTGGAACAATATTCTGAAACAATGAACTTTACAATGACATTTGGTGGCATATGAATTTGAAATAAACACATTAACGAAAGAAACCTTGATGAAATTAATAAATAATAACAAGACCGGCCTACTAAGAGCAGATGTCCTGCCAAGAGAATGAAATATAAAAGGCCAGCAAAATCCTTCAGAAACCTGACACTTGTACTAAAGCACGATTTTTTTTTTCTTAAACTCTACATATTATGTACATACCTGCAAAGCAAGGAACTCCTGTAAACATAAACACAGAGACATTGATACAACAATGAATCTGTAATGGTTCTGTTGCAGATGTGATCTACCAATGTACTCCTTGCTCTTTTGGTATAACTATACCCATCAAAACGTTAAATGGCTCCCTGGGACCATAGACCAAGGATTCTTGCTATATTCTGGACTTCCAGGAATTTGGTACATGGACAGAAAATTTATAATTACTAAAGCAATCATGCTATTTTTTTCCCTGTATCAGAAATGTGTCAGTGACAATGTGTAATATAATACAGATACTATAATTAATGGTATAAAATAAACACATAATGTGTTAATTGCAAAGGTGGATAGACTTTGTGAGTATCTGAAACGCAATTGAAGATTATTGCTAAAATGCCATAAGCAGCTGCAGTCTGGCTTACAAACAAATATATTAGACTTAAAGTATAAGAGCATAACAGCTAATTACCCAGATGAATAATGGAATCATGATAGTTAAAGATCATATGATTACAATAACAACTGCAATAATGTATAATGTTTAAACTTTAGAAGAAAATGTGAAATGTTTTTATTAAATCAGAAACTACTCTATATTCGTTTAAGTTTGCAGAGTGGTATAATTAATTAATATAAGTGAAGTACTTCAACAGTTAAAATGTAACTGAAAGACAGGCAAAAACTTTATTTCACTTATCACAAACCTATATTTACAATGATAAACATATTCAGTCTGCCAGAGCTAAGGCCAGTCAATGGAAAGTAAAAGAGTATTGTGGATTAACCCGTCCAGGTGATATACATGATTATTTTGGAAATTGATAATTTAGGTCACCTATTGCAAACTGGTGAAAAGATGTCAAAGATATAAATTCAACATCCATACCGCTCTATGTATATATATTAAAATACACGTAATCAAATATTTTATCAGTTTTTCAAATACAAATTTTTTTTTATTTGGTTTGTGATGGTTAAAGGTACATATACCTTGTGGTAATGATCCTGCCACATCTATTGATTGTTTAATCAATATTTCATGCATATGATTATTAATTCTTATTCTGATTGTAAGATACCCCACTTCAACCAGTTATAGTTACAACAGATTCTGATATCTATTGTTATGGAAGCAGGCCCGGACTGGCCATCGGGCACACCGGGCAAATGCCCGGTGGGCCGCGATGGCCGTGGGGCCGAGGCCGGCAGGGGAGATCACAGGATCTCCCCTGCCGGCCCGTGCAGGGCTAGCGCTATCCGAGCGCCGGCCCTGCATAGTGCCTCCATGGGCCGGTGGGGAGATCAAAGATCTCCCTCACCGGCCCACAGGCATGGAAATGCGGCCGCCGGCTGGGGAGGGAGGAGAGAGGACCCGGCGGAGCTCTAACAAGCAGCTCCGCCGGATCCTCTTGCGGGATTCATCTCGCGAGAGTGAACTCTAACCTGCAGGCTAGAGTTCACTCTCACCACTGGGCCACCAGGGAATGCAGCACGGCTCCCCACCCCCCAGGCAGAACGGATCTCCACCCCCCCCCCTCCCAGGATAAAGGTAAGAAGGGAGGGGGGGGGGAAATATATATATATATATATTTTTATATTAGTAAAAAAAAATATTTAAATTTAAATAAAAAAATACATTCACCCAGACACAGCCCTCAGACACAGCACCCCCCCAGACACAGCACCCCCCCAGACACAGCACCCCCCAGACACACAGCCCCCAGACACACACAGCACCCCAGACACACACAGCACCCCCACACAGACCCCCAGACACAGCACCCCACACAGCACCCCCAGACACACAGCACCCCCAGACACACACAGCACAGACACACACCCCCAGACACACACAGCACCACCACACAGACACACACAGCAACACACACTGCACCCACACACACCAACCCACACACAGCCCCCAGACACACAGCGCACCCAGACACACACAGCACCCCAGACACACACAGCAGCCAGATACACACAGCACCCAGACACACACAGCACCCCCAGACACACACAGCGCACCCAGACACACACAGCGCACCCAGACTCACACAGCGCACCCAGACACACACAGCACACACAGCACGCACCAGACAGACACACACAGCACCCCCCAGACACAGCACCCAGACACACACAGCACCCTCACACACACAGCACACTCATATATATATATATATATATATATATAAAATAACCCTCAGTGAGTTAACAGACAAAGAAAATTAGAAACCTAGAATGTGACAGCAGATAAAAACACCCTCACACACAGCACCCCTCTTACATACACACACTGCGCCCCTCACACATACAATAAGTCCAAATATATATATATATATATACATACACACACACACACACACACACTACAGCACCCCTCACAATGCACCACTACACACATTACGCTCCAGATACACACTAGATCCCTTACTCTATATGCACTCTTTATCCTCTATACACACACACACACACACACGGTCCTTTACACAGTAGATCTCCTACACACACACACTACATTCCTTGTCAGCAAACACATACAACATTCTCTAAACACACCCTCTCTGCAACCCCTACACACACTACGTCACCTATACACACACACTTCAGCCCGTATGCACACACTCGCTGCATCCCCTATAAAACTATGCCCCCTATACACACACTCTCTACAGCCCCTAGCCACACATATTACACCACAAACACAAATTAAATTGACCTATTTATACAATACCACACCACACTCTACACACACGCAATCCCACAAGCAGGCTCCAAACATATGCACCATGCACTTTCCTGGCCCTTTTGTCCTCTGGTATCCCACTTGTGGAGACACCAGAGACAATTTAAAAGCAAACACAACACAAGCATGTTATTACATTTGCTTGCGCTGGGCAGAACAAATACAGGGCCTTTTTCTAATGCCAGAGCTCTTCAGCAGGGCTCTGGGCATTGAACCAACATGCTCACTTTGAGAGGGGGCGTGTTGTCATTAGTGATGACAAAACACACCCTCTCTGGCCCCGCCCCCTTCTTAGGGGGCCGCTCTGATTGAAAAATGCCCGGGCCTAATTTTTTTCCCAGTCCGGCCCTGTATGGAAGTGTTAAAACCACTTATACAAAGGTAGAGTTAAAATATAAATACCTTCAATATTGTATCTGAGTGCTTTCTTAACTCACTTTTAGAAATAATAATAAAAATCCAAATCATCTTAAGTTACACCCAACAGCCACTGATAAATATACTTAAACAATTAAGATTCACATTGTTAAGCATCCAATCTCATGAACGTAACTTTCCACAATGGCTGTCCGATCTTGGTTTAAAAAAAAAAAAAGGTTTTAAGACAATTTTTGGGTGTTTCTGGTATTTTAAGCCAGTAATAACTAGGTAATAAGTTGTCTTCTCCCTAACAGGTCAAGGAAAGATAATTAACGTCATATTTCCAATTAGCAACTATTCTAAATAGATTGATACATTTTGAATAAAGGAGTATTTTTAACATTTAAAGAGAATGTAATTTTATATACCATTGTGAACAAAGGCGGTAAATGCTTTGCTGCTTCAAATTATCCTTATATATCTAAATCATATACAAGGGTGTTTATCTCTAATACAAAACACTAAAAAGATTAACTATGTTACTATTTCACCTATCATTATTATACAAAGTATAACAAATGTAAAGATTTTTCCACAGATTTTACCTGTTAACATTTTTAGCACAACAGCACCTGATGTCATGATGTCATTGAGATGTAGAGGTGTTACAAAGATTCCATTACCGCAAAAAGAGGTGTCCTTGAGAATCCATTTTGATTGCTGTATCAACATAACATTTACTATATTGGGATCCATGTCACGTAAGACAATGTCTTGGAAATGCTGTCAATCAATTTATTCCGTAAAAGAATATTGGAGAGTATCCAATCTATACACATCATAAACGGTGTAAAAATGTTTCATGAAAAAAACTAAACAAAAAGCAAACAAGCAAAGACAAATACCAACACCATCACCACGGTGATAACAGATGATGCTGATTCAATATCTGCAACCAATTCTAGCCAAATATTTGGAAAGCTGGACTCTACAACCTATACTCTACAACAAATACCCGGGTATTCTACAAACACAACCTCCAGCAATGTATCTAAGGAATGTAAAATTCTACAGGCCTTTAAGATTTTGGATTACAAATACAATTACTACTTTTAACTTTGGATTACAATTCGTATCCGGATACATCCAAGAATATCTTACTCTGGAACCTGGTGTTCTTTTCAATTCTTTCCCAGACAAAAGCTTTGCTCATTTTAATCAACCACCTTTACAGGCAAAGATCACAGTACGGATATTTTACTGTTACAACAATGATCAAAGATGCTGGGAGCACAAAAACCTAAAGACTGTTGGAGAATTTTGGTTTACTAATTTAAGGAAGAAATGCGCTACAATGCCCACAGCTTAATGGAGAGGGTGTTATGGGCAAATGCAAATATTACAAGTTTTAGAATTAAATGTATTTCTTAAACTGTGTACTTTGTCTTTAAGAGATATTGCAAACTGACAAGGTGTTAGAAATTGAACATATTGTTTTTCATAACTGTTTCTTTAAGCAATAACCTCAGTGCATAATATGTTTGCGCCATTTTGTCCCAGACGAATTACAATAACAATAATGCATAAACAAACGTCAAAGCTATGCTACGACTCTTTCAGTACACAATATACTGTGCATCACCCACCCTCAGCATCACCCTACCTCACCATCACCCACCCTCAGCATCACCCTCCCTCACCATCACCCACCCGCAGCATCACCCCACCCTCACCACCCTCAGCATCACCCCCCACCACCCTCAGCATCATCCCCCTCACCACCCTCACCACCCTCAGCATCACCCACATTCGTTTATTTCTACCTGTAAAGACTGGGGACATTCATATGCTGTTTTCACGAACAGAATTCAAATATACTGTTCGTGAAACGAATAAACCACTGAATGGGAGACCACACAAGGGAGTCGTGTGTCTCCAATTAACAAACTGGCAACGACGAAAAACCGCAGAACGCTAATGATTTAATGGGTGGCCACCGTTCGTATAACCGAAACGTGGCGGCAGCCATCTTTGCATATGAACCCCCAGCGGTGTTTGGTCATTGAGTGCATGGAACTAAAATCTGCTACTCGACCTCGCGAACACCGCTGAACTTCCATGCCATTCGTATGACTATGTCCATTCGTATAAATAGAGCAGCTTTCGGTGGATTAAACCCCACAAACTCCCCATACTCAACCAGCTAGTATATGACTATGTAATGTCAATGGGTAATTTGTATGAACTCCTGAAAGAAGACCGGTAAAAGCCTACAATTGCCTGGAACTATTTTGGGGATTGCGCCTCGTGGCTGACCGGTCCATAACTTCATTCGAATGGCTTTTCTATTCTAACGAACGGATCTGAGCAGATTGTGCGCTCAGATCCCAGCTATTCAATGAAGGGAAGTTCAGATGAATATTGTGCAAGTTATGTATTTTTATGTTATATTGTATATTTTTCTGTACGGAGAGATAATGTAATTAAAGGTGTACTCTTAAAGGTGTAGGTAACACAATTATCTCTCCAGTACAGAAAAGCATGATTGGAGATATTCCTGTACAAGAAGTTTTCCACAGAGTCCACCAGGGGAAAACCCCTGGCATGTCATCAAGAAAACCCCTTGCATGGGGATTTGTATAAAACCGGCTGTGGTGTGTGTCGTCCAGTTCTTGGGAAAAAGAGATTATACTTATCACGCTACTTGTATTTTGTATGCTGACTACATCTACCAACGGAGATATCTTGGTTTAAACCTTTACACCGCTACATGGCCTGAAACGTTTGCTAAATATCTTTGTTCTTCAATAAATGGGGTAGCACTTGTTGTACAGCACACTTGTGCACTTCCCTCCTTTTTTTCATTTCTGATTTTGTGGATAGAATTAACTTCTAGTGGCTGTCCACTAACCATCATTCATCTTTTTTTGCTACCTCTTGATTGCACAGGAGAGCAGACCTCTTGGGAAACTAAGCTGCTTATTTGCCCGCACCCAAAAAAACTGCCTCTTCTCCATTCCATCCTACTTTTTTATGGTGACAGGTACATTATTCTGAATTAAGAATTTAACCAAATATTTTTGGGCTCCCATGAGTTGGCTCCCAGAGATCCTGCAACGTGGTGGCTCAGATATCAGAATTTCTTCTGATCACCTGATCAGCCCAAAGTAGACCAATTTGCAGTTTCATCCAAAATGAGAGCAATTAGGAGCACAACTTGCAAAGAAGAAGTATATAATGCTTAAATAATGCTAGAGACCATGTCCAGAGTAAGACAAAGAAAAACAAATTGTAAAAGAGTTCCAGGCATTTCAAATCCACAGCAGCCCGTCTTTGAGCATCAGGGTCAGCAACTACAACATTTTCTTCTTTTCTTTAAAAATTCATATTAAAAGGGTAGGGTTGGTGAAACCAAAAGTTGATTTTTATCTAGTGTATATTGTGAGATTGCAGAGCCACCCTTACCATGTGCTCTCATGTGTTCAGCATGAGCGCAGCTGTAGTCTGTATTAGAGCATGAAGTACCACAATTCATAAGCATAAGTAAATGTAGATGGTTATTCCATGCAAATGTAAGTCAAAGCAGTCGAACTTGAAACATAGCGCTGACTTAGAGAATGTTTCACCTTTGGCTATTTGAATCTTGAATGTATTGGGTATAAAAAAAGCTATTACTTTTACTAACCAAGTATATCTATATATATTATGCAAAGTACATACCCATAGAATGTGAACAATGTGCCGTAATGGACAAAGTAACAACCAAGTGTGAGCGAGAGGAGTGATCATGTATTAAAGTTGAATGTTTAACTCTCAATTGCAATCCCTTTTTTACCAAATCCAATACATCTGTAGCATTTCTGACACCCCTAAAGAAAAAAAAAATATTAGTTTGAAAGAAAGAAAAAAAAAGTAGGCACATTATAAATTAGACTTTGAATCTCTCACTAAAATCAGAATTGTGGAGAGAACAAGGAAATTGCATAAAGCTAAACTGTAAATAATCTTCCAGCACTGCTATTTACCCCAACAAGAAGCTGGCTCTTTATAAAATGGTTATATTTAATCTAATACAGGTTAATACATAGGGCTATACATAGGACACAAGGCCACGCATTTAGGCTTGAAGTAAGGATATTTCATCTGAGGCAAAGAAAAGGTTTTTTTTACAGTAAGAGCAATAAGGATATGGAATTCTCTGCCTGAAGAGGTGGGTTTATCAGAGTCCATACAGATGTTTAAACTGTAATTGGATAAATACTTGCAAAAACATAACATACAGGGATATAATTTCTAATTAGTGGGGTAATAGCTGCTTGATCCAAGGAGATAGCTGACTGCTTTTTGGGGGTCAAGAAGGATTTTTTTCCTAGTTTGTTGCAAAATTGGAAGCGCTTCAGACTAGGTTTTTTTGCCTTCTTTTGCATCAACAGCAAAAACATATGTGAGGTAGGCTGAATTTGATGGATGCAAGTCTCTTTTCAGCTACGCAACTATCTAACATTTAGTTTAATGCCAATGTGGTTTTATATGTACTACTGTATATGTAAAAATATTAAAACTGTCTCACATTGTAAAGGTTATATTGTTGCCCCCCAAAAGAATTGTACACATAAAACAAGTCTCTATATCTGATATTTTTCCAGCTTAGTTATTTACATTTCCATATAATTTACAGTGACACTCCCTCCACCCTGAAAAAGGAGTATTTCAGAAAAATAGAATCTTTATGAAGTATTCATCTTGAGTGTGTTGGAATTTTACTGAAAGTAGTCTCTCTATATTTCCTCCATCTGACACACCTGGACACTGGGCAGAGATACCACTGTCTAGAAGTTACAAGCCTTCCAGCTTTCACCAGTGATGGCTGCAGGGAATTGGCTCTGTCTATAGAGGATCTCACAGGATCCTTTATAGACCTCAATGCTGAAGAAGACCAACCAGAATAAGATGGCCAAACCCACACGGGACAGTTTCAGGTAAATAGAACTCACCTTCCCCAGCCCTCCCCAACCCCCCCTTCCCCAGCCAACGGACTCCCAGCGGCAATGTCACCATTGGGGTCTTTGCGAATTCTGAAAAGTCCATAGACAGTGCCACTTTAAGTAATATATATTTAGGCATCTAGCAATTACAGACAATCAAAGGAGCACAGATGAAAAAATAAAACACAAAATGGAGTATTCACTAAGGACTGAATTTTGTCTGGATCAGAAAATGTAATTTAAAATAACTAAGTTTGCATTTCTAATGTTATTTAAACTGATTGAGCGCATCTCATTCAGCACTGTCCAGTGCTTACTTTAAAATCAAACTACAACATTCAATTTCTAAAATATAAAATACATGTTTAAAACTATTTATAAAACACTGAATTTCAAATTTGTCTGTTGAATTTTCATGTATGTCTCATCCACCCATTTTACACCTCTGAGGAATATATTGGCACTTTATAAACAATTATAACCCAACTGAAAACTGTAGTGATGTTAACAATAATCCTCAGTGGAGTCTGCTGCAGATTGTGTTCCTGCCATGATACAACAGCCAATCAGCTGCAGGTTCTGTTCCTGCCATGATACAACAGCCAATCAGCCGCAGGTTCTGTTCCTGCCATGATACAACAGCTAATCAGCCGCAAGTTCTGTTCCTGCCATGATACAACAGCCAATCTGCCACAGGTTCTGTTCCTGCCATTATACATAAACAAGCTGGTTGAAATTTATTTTACAATAAATACCTTTGTCTTGATGATACAAATTACAACATTAGGCTGGGACACAGCGGTTCGGAAGTAATCTTAAATTACTTCCTGATTAATCCCTGGAATATTTGTCTTAAATGATTCTGATTCAGGGAGCTATTTTACACCAAAATAAAAAAAAAATTAAAAAAATCTATTAACCACAAATTTTCAAAGCCAAATTTTCAGCTGCAAATCTCTACAGAGCAAATAGTATTGTTATTGTTTTGTTTTATATTTTTACTCTCTATTCTATAAAAATATTTGTATTTATATACTTACTCATGTGTCAAGAATTGCACCTCAGTCTTTCCATCTTTAGTGGTAATTACATCACATTTTACACCCAACTCGCCAGATCCATCTTGGGCCAGGAGATCAAAAACTTCATTGTTATATACTTCAGTAATGGAAACTTTTACAAAATGACTTTCTTGCTGTTTTTCCTGTATAAGCCTTTAAATAACAGCACAATATCAGTTTATAGATCTGTAAATATTTTGTAAGAATGATCTAATACTTTGAATAAAAAAACATATCTTGTCATATCTAGAAACATACTTTATCATTCGATGAAGAGAGTTCAAGTATAAGTGTTATGATAAAAATATGGGTTAAAGTATGGTTAGGAAAGGGCGACAATGGTGTTTGAGTTCTAATAAGCCTGCAGCAGGGTTCATACATGCCTGGTTGGCTTTCTTTCCTGAGCTCTAATAAAATGGTTTTCTACACAATTCAAAGAAAAACATAGAATCTTGGTTTTATACTCTGCTTTTTGTGTAATTTGTTTAAAGGAACATTCCAAGCACCATAACCACTACAACACTTCCGATGCAGGAATGTATATTAGCTCTTCTGAACTAAGACATGCAATACAGGGCTTATTTCATTGGCTCAGAGTGTTTAGCTGATGCTCTCAGCCAATAAGCTAAGCCCTGCATTGAATGACTTACCTCAATAGAGTGAATGGGAATTCCGTTGTTAGTAATGGAGTTGGGGGGCAGCACTCAGCGGACCCCAGGTAAGATGTACAACTGTTCTAAAATGGTTGATTCCATACAAGGGGGGGTGCCAAGGCACACCTGGCACCATAACCACTATGAGCTGTATTGATTATGGTGCTTGAAGTGTCACTTTAATCAAATTCTCTGTCATTATGAATTAAAATTAGAGCACATTTTCATTCAAATAATGTGGATATGTAGACAATTGTAAAGAGTTAAAAACTAAATGTAACTGAACTTGCCAACAGCAATCTGATTCCCTGCACGTTATGTTAAGGGTAGTATAACCATATGCCAAATGCCTATAAATGGTACTGTAAGATTACCTGCTTCTCATTCTCTCATCTTAACTACACATTGACACAATGCATTATTATCAGTTAATAGACAGCACGTCTGATGCACTACCAGTGCCTCAAATTATAGCTGTTAATCCTGGCATCAGTCGGCAACCAATAAGTCTATGGTTCATCATTAGGCTTGGATCCATAGAAACTGCAATATTTTATTTCCTTATGTAGTCCCCTCTGGTCACTAGTAAGGTAACTTTTAATCTTTGTTTTATAATGTGTCCCTAATTCTGACATATATCCTGGTCATGTATTGGTTGATTTACTCATAGTTACTGTTCTCTAATGTCCTTACTTGGACTTGTATCTGACTTTTCTAGTTTTGATCGACATTTACAGAAGCCAACATTGAAAATATTTTATTTAAAGTTATATTTTGGGAATAATAATTTAGATCTAATTGTTTTGTCATTATCCAGTTTATATTTTTTATAGAACTAAAAATATAATTTGTATCAAAACACTGGTATCGCAAGTATTGGTTTGTAGCACTGGTATTTACAACGCTACAACAATGCTTAACAATTATGATTTAAATTAATTAGTATTTTTTCTTCAGTGACTGTTAACAGCACTATTACAACATGGAACATGAGTCCATCATGACCAAATTTTCTTTGGTAATACTATATTAACCTGTTCATGAAATTAGGACGTTCCATGCTGGGTGTGCTTTACTCTCAATAGGATGGCATGGAAAATTCTAACATTTTGGTGTGATCTCAAAGTGAGCGCAGCATACAGCACTTTAAATGTATTGAGAACAATGTAACTGAGAAGATTGTGCTCGGCAGTGGTGTTTCTAAGCTGGCAGGTGCTCAAGAAAGACCTCCAGAGCATGGGCATCTGCATTAAATTTTCTGGGGGGAGATGGGGCATAATTGTAATGACATCCATGCTCTGCCCTTTTTAAACACAAGCTGAAAAATCCATGGGGGGGTGGAGGGTCTCCCAACATGTCCCCATGCTGATTGTGATCGATATGCCTGATTTTTAGCATTACAGGGATATGCCTGCAATGCTGAAAGCACCCAGTAGATAGCAATATAGCAATATACCAATCTGTTCTGTCTTAACTAGGAAACACATTTGCTAATCAGTACTGATATTACAAGCGGGTTTCCTTAGGGTTATCGTAGGGTTAGGGTTAGTTCTATGGTTACATTTTGTGTATGATTAATCAGTATAGGTAGATGACAGGTAAAGTCAGGACAGACTATATATATATATATATATATAGTTATTTTTTTTAATCTAACAACAGCTGACATTACAGTGTCAAAACAGAATATACACATAAACAAGATACATATTTACTTATGTAATTAATTACATTAGAATTACATTGTATATTTTAATTACAATGTAAAATAATATATTAAAAAAAAATAAACTACATTTACAACTTCACAGATACATTAAATTATCTAATTTTATAAAAGGAAAATGTTTATGTGACATATTGGTGACAGTTTAATTTAAATGCTATAGTCGTAATTACATTTTTTTTTACTTAGTTTAAAATACACACATACACAGAACACATAATTTATTACCTGAAGAGCTCTTCAGCTGCTCTTGGAATTATACCAAGTTCTTGGTTGCTGGAATTGAGAATAGAAGTTTCATTTTCCCAATGGGGACCCATCATTGTGTACGTCTTCCCACTTCCAGTTTGTCCATAAGCCATGATGCAAACATTGTACCTTGATGTTAGATTGGTAACAGTAACTTACTCCATGCTTGTTTAGTTGACAACCCAATGATACAATTTATAATCTAATTATATTTACAAGTTAAGGAGAAATGTGCACAATTATAAAACTCCTAGTAGTAAAACTATTTTTAAAAAATAAATTTTGAATTTCAAAACAATATATTGGAAAAATATCTGACAGATGCATTACAATTACAGACATTTTAGGAATACTCCGAGTAGCATAACCACTACAAGGTGTTCTAGTGATTATGGTGCCCAGAGTACCCAGTGCTCTCAGCCAATGAGCACTGGGTTTAGCTCAGGAGTTCTAACTGAAGCTCTGGCTTAAGAGTTTCTGGCTCTCTAGCAAATTATGTGGAGGCAAGGAGTGGCATCCAGAGTACCCCAGGTAAGAAGTCAAACTATTTTAAAATGGTTTGACGGTTCACAGTGGTGTGCACGATAACCATTACAGTGCGTTATACTAGTTACAGTGTTTGGAGTGTTCCCTTAAAGTAATTTTGCATATATATATATATATATATATATATATATATATATATATATATATGTATATAGTCAATACAATGCTATACCTAGATCTGCACACCAGTCAAGTCATAAGACTTGCTTGTCCCACAGAAATCACAAACTTGCAGGTATGTTACAACTGCAAAGGATTTTGGGTGGGTATATGCAATTTAGTTCAACAAAGAATCACATTTTGCCTCATTATTCCATTTTAAACATAGATTCCTTGGAGCTTGTGTTTGCTGTATACAACAACTTTAATATTAAATATATATATATATATATATATATATATATATATATATACACATAGATCATGTTCTATTTTCTAGATAAATTCAAGAAAATACATTTCAAATAAAATTTTATAAAAATTAAATAACCAATCAAATATATAGAGTTTTATTCACTAAGCACTAATTGCAAATGTTGTATGGCATCCAGTTATCCAGATATGACTGTTTCAACAAAGCTTATTTGAAAACCATTTATCTATTAACAAAAAGTTCACTTTATTTATTTAAGCTGTTTGCCCTACATGATTAGTGGTTGAGTTAGCTGTTAAGTTATATGAAATTTCATTCAGGTCAACTCAGTTTCACTTTATTCAAAATAGAAATAAGTAAATCACAGTCCCAATTTTGGTTGGGCAGGACCCCAAAATAGAGAACTGATTATGTTCTCTGATGTCCTGCTTCTAGTAGCAAATCACAAGCATATCATTAGACCATGTAGAGAGTGCATCAGTGATGGCCCTATTCCAGGCAGGTCTGCCATTATGGGTGTTGCCAGTGATGTGAGTCACAGAATGGCGATGCTCCCTCAGGACACGCCCACCCCAATGTTGGGAGGTAGGTAATCAGAGAAAGTTTATCATCTGCATTGAAATAAGCTCAGCATAATAAATTGGCTGAATTTATCAAAGAGCTTAAGCAATAAATCCTGTTTGTTTTTTAAATTCAAGAGGATACTGTACCTCCGAGGATTACTAGGGGCCCAGTGTACAATACAGGAACTTTCCATCAGTCTGTATGATTAGGATATATGATATGCAAATCTTTATCAAATTATCCCACTGTTTTCAACATATGCAAAGGACAATATTTTAAATATTTATCAAGAGTTAACAAATTATATATATTGTTATTAAATTAGATATAGTGATTAGAACCCACACTCATGGTATAAATAATAAATATTAAAAAATAAAAAAAACATTCTTAAAATACAAGACAGACAATAACATTAACAGAAACCCCAACAAATGGATAAAAGAGAAGGCTTCTTACCCATCCAATACAGAAGTAATAAGGGGACACACATCTTTGAATACAGAATTCTGAGATTCCGATGGATGAAATACTCTGAAGGAAATGTTTTATTAGTACATCGAGTCAATGTGTAAAGTGAGCATGAGGGCAAATTAATTACATGGAGCTCTGTGTCAACATAATGTTTATTATGTTAGGGGTGTAATTAAAAATAGATTTTTTACTAAAAGCATTTTGGTGAATAAACAATGTATTTAACAAAAGAGACATTGGGAATGTATCCAACTTTTTTCGTTTAAAGCGGCTGGTTGTAGACTCACCACAGCCTACTGTTTATGAATGTTAGTTAAATAACTAATTTCTGTCAGAAATGGCTTAGTTTTTGGCAACACAATTGGAAAAATGTTCCTGACTGAAAAACAAAAAATCATATGAGCTTGCAAAATTACCACAAAACAGTTGCTTGACTGATCCAAATGGGATATTGGTCACTCACAGAAAAAATAAATACATAATTTCTAAGTATTACATTTGTTAGAGAGGAACTGTTTTATTTCTTTGTAGATGTCAAAGTGCACATGGAGACCTAAGTCATCATGAAGCAATGATGTGTGGAAGTCCAGCAATGAGAAGTTAAATTTTTACTAGGTTTTGATGCTTTTACACCCTGTTCCAAATTATTATGCAAATTATATTTTTCTCATTTACCTAAATAACTGATGTAAATAACAGTCAGCATAATTCTCATGTTATCAACTATTAAGAGTACAATTCAAATTTTATTGAACAAACCTCCTAATGATAACAGTACGCTTTTTAAACATAAAAAACGTACAATGCACTCTTCCAAATTATTATGCACAGTAAGTTTCAAAACACTTTATAGGTTGTAAAGAACTGAAAATTGTCATTTGTTGTGTTTGCAGCATATTTACTGAAATCAAAAGCTGTTTCATTCAAACTTATAACAACATTTTAACTTTTTAAACATTTTAACAGGTCACGTTACATTTTAACATAGAACCCCTTATTTGATAGCAGCTTCACAAGTTTTACATCCATTGAACTTGTGAGTTTTGGGACAGTTTATGCTTGAATTTGTTTGCAAGATGTCAGAATAGCCTCCCAGAGCTGCTGTTTGGATGTAAACTGCCTCCCACCCTCATAGATCTTTTGCTTGAGGATGCTCCAAAGGTTCTCAATAGGATTGAGGTCAGGGGAGGATGGAGGCCATAACATGACTTTCTCTCCTTTTATCCCCATAGCAGCCATTGATGCAGAGGTATTCTTTGCAGCATGAGATGGTGCATTATCATGCATGAAGATGATTTTATTATGGAAAGCATAGTTCTTCCTTATGTACCAGGGAAGAAAGTGGTCAATCAGAAACTCCACATACTTTACACCTTCGGGGACCTTAAAGGGGCTGACCAGCTCTCTTCCCATGATTCCGGCCCAAAACATGACTCCACCACCGCCTTGCTGATGTCGCAGCCTTGTTGGAACAGGGTTGCCGTCCACCAACCATCCACTACTCCATTCATCTGGACCATCCACGGCACTCATCAGTGAAGAGGACTGTTTGAAAATTAGTCTTCATGTATTTTTCTGCCCAATGCAGCTGTTTCTGCTTGTGAGCATTGGTTAGTGGTGGCCGAATAGAAGGTTTATGCACAGTTGCAAGACTCTGGAGGACTCTACACCTGATGTCTGTGGGACTCCAGAGGCACCAGCAGCTTCAAATATCTGTTTGCGGCTATGTAATGGTATTTTAGCAGCTGCTCTCTTGATCCGATGCATGGATCTGGCAGAAATCTTCCTCAATGTGCCTTTATCTGCACGAACCAGTCTGTGCTCTGAATCAGCCACAAATCTCTTAATAGTTCGATTAAGTTTTCGAGAAATATCTAATGTTTTCATACCTCATCAAAGGCATTGAACTATTTCACTCTTTTCGGCAGCAGAGAGATCCTTTTTTCCCCCCATATTGCATGAAAAAGGTGCTCTGCTTAATAATGTGGAACACCCTCCTTTAGTAGTTTTTCCTTAAATTGGGCTCACCTGGCAATCTAATTATCACAGGTGTCTGAGATTGTTTTCAGTTATCAAAAGAGCCCTGAGACACAATGCCATCCATGAGTTAAACTGAAAAACAAAATATTTAATCGGTAGGCACTCAATTATTGTGGGCTACATCTCACATGATGCTTTGCCAGCATTACGGCTGTAAGAGCTTTATGGGATAAGTAGTCCACAACATTAGGAGTGCCGAAGGTTGCCTAACCCTTTTCAATGCAATCCACATGTTGTATTTTATTAAGTTAAAGCACATAAACACAACTTAAATGTATTTGATTTAGCCTCATAATAATGCTGTATTTTTCTCTCTGTTCAAATCTCTGCATTTTTGCTTAAAACCTAAAAAAAGTTGTGCTGCTTAATGCAGTGTAATCCTGTTCCTTAACCATTTTCGCAATATAGTAATACAGAAGGTAAGCTGTGTAGCTCTGCCAATAAGAAATTAGTATGTGTCCTTAAAAGTGCCCTTTTACGTAATAAAGAACTCAAAGAGCAAATAACACACTAAGGAATGCATAAGATAAATATGTATTTTTAAAAAAATGCCATGAAAGGTGTTCCCTTTTCTCCAAAAAATTTCCAGTTTCTGAGATATCTCATCCATCTCCCATTTACCCCTACAGCTGAATTACTAATTATGTCCTTATGAAAGAATCAATATATTTCCATGCTTAGGAATTCGTAATGCAAAGGAAAAGAGCATGTTTGTGAATCCTGCTTACTTGAAAAAAAAATTAAATGAAAGGCACGAAAACAGGCAAATATAAACCACCAGTTGGCTTCCATTCAGCTGTGTGACCAGATTTAATTCAATATCCTTTGATCAATATATCTGGAATGCTTGCATTGAGCATATATGCTGAACAGCCACAACATTAAAATCACCTTCTTGCTGTGTGGACTCCACAAGACCTCTGAAAATGTCCTGTGGTATCTGACACCAAGACATTAGCAGCAGATCGTTTAAGTCCTGCAAGTTGCAAGGTGGGGCCTAAATGCTCAATCGTATTGAAAATTGGAGAATTTGGAGGCCAAGGCAACATCTTGAACTCTTTACCACAGTTGCTTAAATGTGGGCTTCCTTCTAACAAATAGATCACATTTAGTTTTTTTTGGTTGTGAGCCTTTAGGTAAGTATATACATCCAATATTTGCATTATATAAAAGAGTGCTGCTAAAGGATGTACTGGTTGTGTCAAGTCTGCCTGAACACCAGAGTCCTGTAGACAGAGAAGAGGCCAATACCTGCTGTAAAAGTAAGGTTTCCTGGGTGACATGGTTGCAGAGGCGTAACTATAAATCACTGGGCCCTGGTGTGAAAATTGCCCTGGGACCCATTGCCTCCGTCCCAGCCCCCCATATGTGTCATTCCCTCCATCTCAGTAAGGTGTGTGTGTGTAAAGGATGTGTTGTGTGTTTCTGTGTGTGTAAAGGATTAATTGTATGCCTGTTTGTGTAAGGGATGCATACTGTGTGTGTGTGCATGTGTAGGGATGCATTGTGTGTTTGTGTGTGTCTTTTTTTTTTTAATATTTCTTATGTAATGTAATTTAAAAAAAAAATGTATTTGGTATATCTCCCCCTCCCTGTGTCCTACCAGTATCCAAGGAGGGAGCAGCATATTCCTTGGTGGTCCGGTGGTACTGCAGAGGCTCTCTGCCATCACCTCTGCCGGGTGATGGCTCTTTATGTGAGACCCGGCACCACGTGTAATCGAACTTTGCTGTGGATACTGCGGAAAGTCTTGGAAAGCTGGGAGCTCACGGGGCCCTCAGGTGGTCTGGGCCCCTTACAAGTGAAGTGGCTGTATGACTGGCTCACGAATGCAGGTATCGCAGCTGCGGCCGGGCTCCCTGGAGTGACTGGCCCGGTCGCAGCTGCGACCCCTGCGACACTGGTAGGTACGCCACTGCATGGTTGTATATACATGTTAAATTCTTGACTCTATGTCAATGCAGGCACTTGTTCCTATCAAGACATGTGGCATTGATTACTGCTTCCACTGCATTTCACCACATAAGGAGGTTTCTTTCAGAGAGTGGAAGTTATTATATACTTTTGTATCTTCTTGCTTATCTATATCAGCATAAGACTAAGATAGAATTTCTGTGAAGACAGCCTCAGTACATGTGAATGATATTATCTATGTGTATGGGCTGGTGTGAGGCACATTGTCAGTATGTGTGTCCACTGTATGCTCTGTGTTACAGTAGAGAAACAGCCTCAGTATATTTGTCCACTATATTCTCTGTGTAGGAGTTGGTGTGCAGACACGGCATCAGTATAAGTGCCAGCTATATGCCCTGTATATGAGTTAGTATGAAGACACTTCCACAGTACAATGCGTACAATATAAGCTATGCATGATCTGGAGCGAAGACACAACCTCAGTATATGTGAATGATATAATCTCTTTGTATGAGTTGGTGTGAAGACAAAACTTAAAGTGGCTCTGTCACATCAAACTTGCCTTTCTCATATTGTTTCCTTTTTTGAACCTTAAGTGGCTCTGTTTTTCTTTTTTTTCATTTCTGATCTACTTCTCTTTAAAATATGAGACAAAGCAGGAACTACTTTCATTTGTTTTTCCTAAACTTGACAATCTTGACAGAGGCTGGAGCTCAAGGCATACGGCAAGCTCCACTTCCTTTGTAAAAATATTGAAGTTTGCCTTAATTGCCACCCTTTGCCAAGATTGCCAAGTGTAGGAAAAATACCTCATCCTCTTATCCTGCAGGATCGCCTACAGTTGGCGGCGTGAACAATTTTTTTGGAATTTATTTCAGAAGCCTATCTCAGTCACTAAGGACTTGTTATGGAACCCAAGAGGATACATCAATGCTTATGCCACTCGGTGTTGCTAGTGTGTGAAGCATGGCGTAGATCTCGGTGGGTATTGGTTTTCAGGGGGGTCATGTTGTTCTGTGTTTAATTCGATTTCTTGTTTTGGGGTTGGGTGCTTCGTCATTGCTTATGTGAGTTTTTGTGCTTTCGATTTGTTACTATGTTATGATTTACACATTTTTTTGGCTGCTCTTCTCATATAAGTTTCAGGTGTCGATTCCTTTTGGATTTCTTTGGTTCTCCTTTATACAGGACTTTTCTTCTTTTAAGTTTTCATCGGGTGTTAATCTCATCAAAGAAAGAGATGTTGACCTAGAGGGGATTGCCTTTTATGAGTTTTTTTTGTTTTCTCGTTAGTGTTTTTTTCTGTGGTTTTTGCTGCTGTTCAGGTTAGCAGTAAAGAGAGTAAGCAAAATACTAAATACTTCACCTCCTAGAATTATTAAAATTGAAATTATTTCACTATTCAAAGCAACAATATCTGTATTTTGGGATTTAAAAGTTTTTAGATTTTACAAAAAAACAAAAAACATACTTTGCTCTTTTTAAATAGTGCAAACAGAGGGGATGACAGCCATAGGACACAAAGTTAATTGTAGAAAAAAATATGTACATGTTCTAGTCTTCCAGACAATTTATTTATGCAGTTTACTATCATTTCAGTGATGTATACCTTTCAAAATTAAATTTTTTTTCATTGATTGGATAGCCAGTTCTACAGCTTTTCAGCAAAAGGGTTTCCTATAAATGCAAAATGTATAAATATATATTAGTGAAAACATATTTCACAAAGCATTTCTAAAGAAATTATTATTTTAACTGCCTTTAGAGTTAAGTAGTCTTAAATGGGTAGTAAAGTTTTACATAAATGTATTGACTTTTCTAAAAGCTGCACAGTCACTGTCTGGGGACTTTGCAGAATTCACAAAGATCTCCCACGGTGACAAGGCCGCTGGGTGTCCAGTGGCTAGGGGAACTGGAAAAGGAGAGTTCTACATACCTGAACCGGTCCCTCACAGCACCAATATCATCTCATGATGGATCCTCTTTATCTCCTGGCACTGAAGCCAACATGCACGAGAGTACAATAGTGATGTTGACTCCTGGCAGAGCTAATTCCCTGCAGCCATCACTGATGATGGCTGGGGAAACTGACACTTCTAGACAGTGTTAGCTCTGCCCAGTTTCTACAAGTGGCAGGCGGAGAAAATATTTATTTATTATTTATTTATTACTGGTATTTATAAAGTGCCAACATATTTCACAGTGCTGTACAATTGGGAAAAAGACAATACAATAAGAACAGAGCTATACAATGGGTAGAGGGCCCTGCCTGTGAGCTTACAATTTAAAGGTTAAACTGGGGAAATGAGACAAAAGGTAGCAGAGGAATTTATGATGGCAGAGAGAGTTAATGGTATAAATGCAGCAGCTGATAACATGTGAAATCTCTTGACTGTCTTGGAATTTCAGTGAAACAGTCAAAATGAGCAAATCATAAAGATTCTATCTTTATGAAATACTATTTTTTCATGGAAAGGGGTTATGGTGTGGGAGGGTGAGTGCTACTTTATTTGGGCTTATTTTAGTGGTTATAATACAATAAGTCAGTTGTTATTGTCACTCCAAGCTGTATTATTCCCTTTGACAACAACTGGGTCTTTGCTGATACCTATGACCCGGTCTGCCATTTAGTTAATTCAGAATTGGCCTGTGCATCTACCACTTTAAATTAAGCCTATTATTGCTGTTTCAAGTAGGAAGGCAGTTTCACTTACACATGCAGACTAAAAGACGGGCTCTAGGCACAGAAAGACCATTTTTTTTTGCCAAACACAGTGGAGCTAGCATCTTAAAAACAGTTGATATTGATGAATCCTCTTGCAAGACAGGATCTAAAACAGGGGTAGGCACTCTTCGGCACTCCAGATATTATGAACTACATCTGCCATAACGCTCTTACAGCCATAATGCTGGAAAAGCATTGGAAGAGAAGTAGTCCACAACATCCGGGGTGCCAGAGGTTGCTTAACTGTTGTAGAATTTCCAGAAATTAAGTAGCAGCTTTGTGATAAAAAAAGAAACATGTTAAAAATGTGATTAAATAAGTATGGCTAGACTCTTTGACAGTGACAGAGCTCCAGTACTCAAATACAGCCAGTTTTCCAAAATAGAAAATGCATAGCTGGAGGCACAGACAATGGATCCTGGATTACCACAATGAACAAAACTAGAAACAATGTTGTCAAAGCTTAAAATTCTACATTTTCTCTGTGCCATGCAGACGACAATGTCAAAACCTAGCATAAATTACTCAAGATCAATGCAAAGTTTCCAAAAACACGTTTGGCCCCATAATCACAATAGAGCTTTATTTTAATGTAATGGTTTATCTATTTAATGTTGCAGACCATGAGCTTGACTTTATGACGATAGCCTATCCATTTTTAAATGGCTACACCTAGCAGAATAGTGCATGTTACAAAACACTCGTCCATATTTTCCAAGAACATGAGTTATTTTAGATCTGTCCAGTGATCTATAAAATCTCCTGATCTAAACACATTTGGGCCAAGATAGAGTCCTTTTTCAGGAGACCAATAACCAGATAGAGATTTCTTTGCAGGAGCAATAACCTAAACCAACCATGAACGTTACAACTATGACCTTTAGGTCTCATCAGCATGATGTTCTGGTGTATATTGCTAGCTTATTTAAAAAAAAAATTGTGAAAGCAAAACATGATAAAACACAGCTCTGGTTATTGCAAATTTCAAATTTACTAAAATCTCAAGTCAGACATTGGGAAAAGTTCACCTCTAAAAAATATTTTAATGATTGAAAGAGAAAATAAAAATGATTTTGGCAGAATCTGGCACTGTACAGGTGCCTATAAGTTTGTGGTTCACCAATTACTTCATCATATTTATATATGTTATATATTTTAGCATTTTGTTTTAGTACACATCCTGATAAAGACCTAGCATGGCAAAAATGTCAGTGGAAGGATGTAAAGACATTTTGCTGACTGAAACAAACTGTCATGATGTAAAACCTGTGAGTTTACTTAGAAGAAAATGTAGAACTTTTTTGGTGTAATTTAGAATTTGGATCTGTCAAAATTGCATACACCTAGTGAAATTTAGAGACAGTTATGAGCATGTCTCAAATATGGCTCAGTTACCATATAGGGTAATTTGGAAGTCACTTT